CAGCCTTGACACCTATCAAAGCCATTGCAGTAAATCACGTTGCGAAGGGCGTCGCCATGCCCCAGTCGTAATGCGCCGTCGCGTAACGCGCGACGGCGCGTAGGAATTGAGCCTACCCAATGACCGCTGAGAGGCCAGAGAACGCCGCTGGACAGAGCGTCTCTATGACTCTTCAGTCCGACGGGGTCCACGCTGAGAGATGGAGCCGCCGCGAGGGCCGCCACGTCCTCCTCGGCCACGGCCATCGCCACGGTGTCCACGACCGCCGCGCCACTCACCACGGCCACGTCCGCGGTAGCCTCCCTCGCGATCGCCACGGCCGCGGTTGCGGCCCTGGACCTGGTGGAAGCCGTCGTTAGGGTCGGCAGCAGCGGGAGCAGGGGTCTAAGTACAGTCAGTCTCTCATTCATTCATCACAGCTCACTCAGACGTACCTCGGGCTGGACCTCGTGGTGCTCAGGCTGGTCATCGGCCCAAGACTGGGTGTTGGAAACGGCAGCGGGGGTAGCCTCGACGCCAGTCTCGGTCTCTGTAGGATCGCGGGGAACAGAAACCCATTCCTGAGAAAGCGACATGCTGTTATCGGCCGACTGGTCCCACTTCTCACCGGCAGCGTTACCGGCGCCACTACCGATGTTGGCGTTAGTGGGGGTCTCGGTGGCCGCTTCCTCGGCCTGACCGTTGGTGATGGCAACATCGCCAGCCTCGATCTCGTTCACGGTAGCGTTGGCAATGGTCGGATCGGTAACGGCTTCGGTTGCAGCGGTCTCGGTCTCGACGGGGGCAAGCTCGTCGTAAGGAGACTTGTAGGCCTTGGCAGCTGCCTTGACTTGGCCGACTAGGTACAAAAGGTCAGTATGGGGTGTCATATCAAGGTGTGAGGAGAAAGCTCACAGGTCGTCTCGAGCAGCTCGCCATTGACGCTGTACGTCTGCTCTTCGGCGCCGTCAATCAGCTTGAGCATGGTGGCGACAGCACTGTCGTCACCCGTGTAGATGGCGAGAAGTACACCCTCCAGAGCCTTGTTCTCCTCGTTGCCTTGGTCGGCATCCTCGGAGCGGCGGGCGGCAGCGAGACGAAGGAATTGTGACAGGGTGAGGAGCTTGCTGTTGATACTCTTGCTAGAATCACCCTCCTGCTGGGCCTGCTGAGCCTTCACCTCGGCGACGGCAGCGGCCTTCTCCTTCTCCAGCTTCTCGGCAAAGGACTTTTCCAGCTCTGCCTTCTCAGCAGTAGCACGAGTGCGATACTCCTGGTCGATCTTCTTGTACTGGGCCATCTGCTCCTCGTACTGTGAGATCTGGGCCTGCAGGGCAGGTTTCTTGAGGTACTGCGCCTTCTGGTCGGCATTGATAATGCGAGCAGCGACGAGGTCGTCGAGGGACTTGCCAGCGTTCTCGGCAATCAGGTTGTCGATCTTTGAGGCATTGGTCTGGTGGGCGGGAAGTTAGCTGATGAACCTTGCCACAGAGAGGGGTAAAAAGTAAAGGTATGAGGTAGGCACGGACAAGCTTCTTGGTGGTGTTGCGAATGTTCCTACGGAGCGCGATTAGCATTCGAACAATGAGGGAAGCTCCAATCGTTGATTTCCACCCACTTCTGGATCTCGCGAATGTAGGCAGTCTCGCCGGACTCATCGGAGGCGTCAGCCTTCTCGGGGGCAGGAGAGGCAGTAGGAGCAGGGGACTCAGTGCGCTCGGCGGCCTTGGCCTTCTTCTTCTTGGCTGACTTGGATTCGGCTGAGACCGCGGGGTTCTGAACGGGAGAGGCGGCCATGTTGAAGCTTGTGAGAGGAGCGCAGTCAACAGGGTCGAGGTCGCGTGTGCGTGGGTGGGAATTTTCTAGAGGTGGTGGTGGCCAGCTACGGGCAGAGAGCGCGCAGGTGAGAGGCAAGTAAACAAACTTGTGTAAAGCGAGGTAAGGTGGGATGTACAATCGTAGGAGGAAGGTCCTAGGATCGAAGAAAGATACTCAGAGGAGAGGGCTTGTGATGGGAAAAGGTGAAGTTATTGTGAAGAGGTGGATGTGCAGGTTTTGGACGGGATCAAATTTGGAGGTTCACGGAAGATGACACTCCAGCTCGTAGACGGCAGGCACGTAGCTCGGGGCCAGAGTGCAGCTCACCTCAGTGGAGGGGACACTGTCGGCCGGGAGAAGCTGAGGTCCCGGGTCCAGTACCTTTTCGGTGGGGGGTTTTCAGGCGTTCAGGCGGTGATCCAACCTGGGAGTGGGCTCCCAGGAGCTGAGGAGCCGGAACGATCCCTGCCGCCAGGCTGCTTTTCCCCTTAGGTTCTCCTTACCTTCCCCTAAACACCCCTGCCTCCACTCCTCCCCGCCGCCGCCGGGGTTCTAGAACTGGTCAGAAGAAAAGGTACATTCACTTGTACTGAGATGGGTACGGTAGGCCCACGGAACATTTAGGTTGGAGGCGCCTCAGGTCTTCAAGACTACATGTTTCGGTTCCAATGGTTGGCATGTTTTATCTGTCATGTTTCTCGCCTACATACTGTCCTGGCAACCACAGTATAGCTAAGTACTCTGAGGCTTTGTTACAAAAGTAACCAATTCATCGTACTACACCGCGCGGCACCATCTTCTTCGGTGCTTTACTACTGGCCTTCCCTGTTCGGATGACGTATCAGACAGGGCATATCAGCCTTGTCTAGGACTAGCCGGCGCTCTTTCACGGGAATTACCGATGGATATAAGGTAATCTGTACGGAGTACTCATGCGCAAGACTCCCGTAGTGAGTAGGTCGCGAGCATCATCACCCGCACCCATCAATGGCAGGAATTCATCCATGGAAACACGCCACGTCGCCATTGATCAGGGTGTCGTGGTCATCCAAACGTTGACGAGGCTCAGCCCGATGCTGTTCAGATGAAGGAGCCACTGAACACCCGCGACCTGCTCCTCCAGCCATTGCGTGCCGACCCGATATTTGAGACGGTGGCTAGCATGAGGCGAGCCTCTGTTCTGTCGCAGACCAACGCCCAAGCCTCGGGCTCGATTCCATCTTTTGCATAGCCCTTCTACACCGGGTATGATATGTTGTTGCTGGTTGCCATGTAACAACATTGGGGTCGCGTTGAGGTGTATCCGACCATGATGATGGCATCGACGGCCTCGGGTCGCGAGGTAGCGTGTATTGTGTAAGTCTAGAATGATTTCTCGAGTTTCGATATCGATGAATCGGAACATCAACCTCGGAACTTGGTGAGAGTGTCCTGCAAAATCTACTGTTAGCCTCCCCATGCAATCAGAGTTGCTGTTAGTATGGTTGCGCGACGTACCGAGGTCACCTTCTTGACACTTCGGGCTGTGATGCCTCTTTCGCCAGACTTCTTCGACTCAATAGCGGCCTCTTTGACTAGTCTAGTAAGAAGTCAGTATCTAGATGTGCCAATGTTCGAGTCAACAACCTACGTCTGCATGAACAGGACGTAGTCGAGGTAGATCTGAAAACTAGTCAGCAGGGCGTGCAAAGCCGCGTCGGTAAGCGACTCACCATAACGTCCACATTCTTGCTCAAGTTGCAGTTCGAGTGCGCTTTGATGATTTTTTTGACAGTGCCGCGGGGGTATGCCTTCTGACCGGGTGCCATCGCGAATTGTTGTAGAATGTGTACCGCGGCGAGAACCAAATGTAGTTGAGATTGAAGTCGACGGAAGGATTGAGGTGTCGCGTGCAAGCTGTCGGGGCTCGGTGTGGTGTTCCGGTGTGGGGGAGCCTAGAGCTTTTGTTTTGTTTGGCACGACCTTGAATGAACGTCCCCGAGAGTCGAGAGTGGGGCAGTGCATGACCCCTCCGCACTGTGGCGCGTCACTGTGACCCTCCTTCTGAGCTTTTTGGGAGCTGCGGCGTTGAAGCTGTCACCGACACCATCGTCAAGCACCACACCACGTAACACGTTGCACCACACACCTCCACAATGTTGTCACGGCGCATGGTATGATGAACGCTGTATTGTATGGCTCACTGTCCGTACTAACGCCATATCTGCAGCTCACCAAGGCGGACGAGGAGTCCGTCGGCGACGAGGTCGAAGTTAGGAGAGAGGACCAAGACAAGATCAACAAGTTCAGTCGTCTGCACCAGCGCGAACTCATAATCGAGGAAGAACTCAAGAATAAGAGCGTTAGTTGCACCTTCATACAACCGCCTACGAGCAACACCATCTAATGCCTGCTTGTTGTTGCAGAAAGAAAAGGAAGAGCTCGAGGATCTCAGCACAGAATTGGAGCTTGCCGACGAAGACGAAACAGTACCGTACGCACCCACGAAGGACCCTCGATGATGCACCGAAAGACCATACTAACAATCGGCTACAGATACAAGATTGGCGACGCTTACTTCCACGTATCGCAGCCTCAAGCAATAGAGATGCTCGAGCAGGCGTCGACCAAGATCGAGGAGGATGTCGAGGGGCTAGAATCGAAGCTGGAAACGATCAAGGAGGATATGAACCAACTGAAGGTCGAGCTGTACGCCAGATTCGGAAAGAGTATCAACCTCGAGACATGAAGAAATACAATCGAGCACAAAATACAACATTCGTCACAAATCGCATCGCCGTTTCGGGTCGCGTACCCTGATAGGAACTCCGGTCAATACCTTAAGGTATCAAATCGTAGCCAATGGATTCTGAGGGGGAACGTTGTTCCGTCGTTGCGGAAGTTGGTGCGACTCGAAGGGATCTGATAAGAGTACCTCCCTTACCTAGACGCTTTCGGCCGACTCAAAGTCCCTCCCGCGGTGGGTGTGCACCTCAGTCTTTGGACAACGCACACCTAGGTCCATCCTGAGACGCAGCGGCGCATTCCACTAGCGGTGGCGTCTTTTACCGGTGACGGCATCGTTGTCGCTACCTGATGAGTCGTGACGAAGCGCGGCAGTCGATGGCGCTATCGCAAACTCAAATGACCTCTGTGGAGGGGGGGCAACAAGGGCAGCACCGGGGATGCGGCGGGAAAGCACATCGCCGCGCCGCGGCCGGTTAAGCGGCGTTCAAAAACCAAGTGGGTCTTGCGGTTCGGCTCCGATGAGTCCATGACAAACCAATGGCGAGACACGCCTTTTCTCTTCGTCTACCGGTACCTACCTAGGTAGCTTGCTGTTTCCCCCCTCCCCTCATCAGCCGTGAACGGGGATAAGGCCTCGTCTCTTGTCTCTTACACCCGGCCACTCAGGAATGCTTCTCGGTTGCTAAATTATGAAAAAAGATGGTGGGAACGACGACTAGACCGGCTCGGTCCACAAGGGTGATCGGCCACATGCAGCATGCAGTCACCGATTTTCGGGCATCTGTGGTTTTGGGGCCATTATTCTTTGGCCCATTATTCATCCATTTCCGTATTTGACGGCCACCCTCACCCACACCTCCCACACTTTGCTCTCTCCTCGTGTCTTCTGAGATGGAACCCAACGCAGAAACATAATAAGTGTGTGTGCTAGTACGCTGCTCACGGTTCGCCATGCCCGCCCACAGCGAATCCGCAGAAGATGCTACAGATAATCTGCCATATTTGCAGCGTGAGCATCCCCATGAACCATACGTTTTGTGACCAAAGTGTAACACTTCATAGGCAATCGATCCTCTCTATCAGAGACGGTGAGGCGGATCGATGAAGATGAGGCACGCCAAAGGTATGAAGCTCGTGCCGAAGAGCAGGGTCTGGACGAAAAGAAGATGGCCAGCCCCAACTCATCAAGCGACGAAGATGAGCCCACGATAATATCTTGGGATGACGGTGACCCAGAGAACCCGTACAACTGGTCACACGTATGTTGTTCCAACCTCATATCTACAAAACCGGTCACTAACCAGCTGTAGACCAAAAAGTTCTTGATCCTCTGCTTAACCATGATGCAAGTCATCAACAGCACAATGGGCTCGGCCCTCCCGTCCAACGCCATCCCCTTCATCACCGCCGAATGGGGCATTACAAACGAGCAACAACAGGTCTTGCCCATCTCCGTGTTTCTCATCGGCTACGTTTTTGGACCCGTAGTCTGGGCACCTCTCAGCGAGCATCTCGGTCGAAGGATGTTGACAATAATCACCTTTGTCATGTTCACCATCTGGACCATGGCTTGCGCCCTCGCACCCAACTGGCCTTCATTTCTATTCTTCCGCTTGTTCACTGGCGTCTTTGCCAGCTCACCTATCGCTATCGTGGCCGGTATCCTCGCAGATATATACGGTGACACCGAGACCCGCGGCCGTGCCATGACAGCCTTCATGGTCGTGAGTCCATCCAGACACATTTCCGGATTTTCGCTCCCTTGATGTGTTGCTAAAACCTCCTAGACAACCACCTTTGGCCCCCTCTTCGCCCCCATCGTTTCTGGTTTCTGCTCCACGACAATAGGTTGGCGCTGGTCCTTCTGGGTGGCCCTCATCTACGCCGGCATAACCCTCATCCCGATCCTCCTCCTCCCCGAGACCTACGCGCCCGTCCTGCTCCTTCGACGAGCACGAAAGATCCGCAAACTAGACCCCTCCGCCGCCGTCATCGCGCCCCGCGAGATGGAGAGCACAGACTTCAAGCACATCGCAACCGTCGTCCTCACCCGCCCCGTACGCATGATCATCTTCGAACCCATCGTCAGCTGCACGTGCGCCTATCTGGCCCTAGTCTATACAATCTTCTACATGTCCTTTCAGGCCTTCCCCATCATCTTCCAGAAGCTCTACGGTCTCTCACCGGGTGTGGCTGGCCTGGCCTATCTCCCTATAGGCGCCGGCGCCCTGCTGGTGGTGCCCATCTTCATCGGCTGGGAGCAAGGCCATCTCCGCGCGCAACGCAATGGTTACGCATGGGCCAAGCGCGAAGAGTTCCGCCGTCTCCCTTTCGCCTGCGTCGGTGGACCGCTGTTCTTCATCTCCTTGTTCTGGCTGGGCTGGTCTTCCAGAGAAGGCGTCAGCTTCGTCGCGCCCATGTTGGCGGGGATCCCGTTCGGGATGGGCTTCATGCTCATCTTCATCGCCCTGCTTAACTATCTCACCGACGCCTACGAGATTTTTGCTGCCAGCGCCAACGCGGCTGCCTCGACTAGTCGGTCTCTGCTCGCTGTCGTGCTGCCGCTGGCGACGACGCGCATGTTTAATAAGCTCGGCATTGCTGGTGCTTGTAGCTTGCTTGGCGGGTTCGGTGCTATTATGTGCATCATCCCCTTCATCTTTATCTGGAAGGGTGAGCAGATTCGGGCGGGATCGCGGTTTTGTATTGCGCTTAGGGAGAGGAAGGCGGAGATGCAGAGAAAGGTTGAGGAGCAGAAGCAAAGGGAAGAGGCGAGGAGGGTCAGGTTGAGGGATAGTCCTGGGGCCCGGAAAGAGGAGGTTTAAGTGGTGTTACGAATGAATGCCCGAGGACTGTCGATTCAGCGAATCCAGAGACCAATCATCTACCGAAAGAGAGACGGAAATGATGGCAATAACGAGTGGCTACAAGAGGAATGTCGATGGCATCGACTGAGTAGCAAAGAGGTACAACCTCTGGGCAAGAAGTTGAGTACGGCCATGTGATTACGAAGTCACCTGTTCTCAGAGCATAGATACGTATATCTTGCTTCTATGGTGTATAGGGAGAAAAGGCATGCCTGACGGAGCATAGGCACAACACGACCTGACCCTTTCCTGGGACAGGAGGCAAGTTGAACATAGCATTAATGCAGATCAACTAAAAGTATAATCTATAACACATAATACAAATTGCGTCATACCCTGAAGACGCCGCCTCTCGTTAGCTTTCTGCGGTGATCGGGAATTAGATGTTATATCCTGTGGAACACAAGATTACATCTTATGGAGGCATTTACCTCCTACCGACGGAGCTTCTCCGAGACTCAATGTTGTCTTCGTCATTGCCTTCCGATGTCCTTTTTTCTAGGGTTATCTCACTGAGATGCAGCGTGATGGCTGAACCTACGGGCTTTTATCCCATATATTGTACCAACTACAGAGCGTCACACAGCAAAATCGGTCTCTTTTCGGTGTTGCAAAATATTCCAGGGCGACCTTCTTGTATTAAAAATCAAATGGTCGATGCATTGACACCTCTCGATGGTGGATGAGTTCAGCGCACTCTACATAGGGGCTTCAAAACTGGACATGTTCAGAGGTCCCAGCCATAAGTCGCGGATGTGCAAATTTCGCAACAACTCTCTCTTCGGCTGATTCAAAAGTCTTGTAAGTACAGAGGCGGGCTTCGCATTTGGCCATGCCATTGACATCCGCTACCAGCGAGGAGTTTTCCTCTGTATCAAGAATCGGGCCCTTTCGGCCAAGTGCCATATACTTTGGGTAAGAGCTATAGGATTGCGCCTAACAACCCTTGAGGGGAAGATCTCCCACAAGATCACACTGCGACGATTTGCATGTATTGATCAACATAAAACTTCAATATTTGGCTGATTAGGTTACCATCAACAGGATTTGGCTCGCCATTTCATTGGGAACCATTGATCTGTCCGCCGGGAAGCTATAGAGAATAGGAGACACCTATGCAGACCGGGTAGACGCGCTTACAGCCCTCGTAACGATCAATGGGGACCCTCCAGCTGGGGCACCGGCTTATGAAAAGACCACCTCAGCAAATTAGTTCATCTTGCGGTTTGTGGCTTGGTTGAATAGGGACTCGTGTGCCCAGTGACGAGCCCCAGGGCTGTTTTCGCGCTACTAAAAAAGCCTTTATAAAGCGCCCCGGTCAACCCAATTATCTGTCTTCTGGTCAACGAAAGCGTGGGTGGAAGGCTGAGTGGTAGCTCGGATCGAAGCTAGATACTTGAGTCTGGCCAAAATCCGTGAACAGATGGGCATATGGCCATGTTGTACGTGGAAGGAAATGCAGAGAAGCTCGAAGCTGCCCTTCAGTCAAGTCAGCTACCATAGGGGCTGTCAGTAGATCCCAGCTATCCATATTGACATATTCTCAAGCGTATAAACGTCTGAGAGGGGGAAAGGCTGTGACTCAAAAGCGAGCATGTCAAATTAAGAGGTCACGTTTAGGGGAGCTCGGAAAACATGCCAACAGACGTCACCGAGCTGCTCTGTCACCCGATGAGAACAGGGGCCTTGGGAAGACTACCAGCGACCGCCTGACATTCTTCGCTCATTACACTGATGAATGTTTTTATCTAGTCTCTAATCAAGTCAGGGAATCATTTTGGCAACTCAACAGCAGGCAGAATGCCACTCCGCGAAGGGGAGGCACGCACTTGGGAGGCGTCCTTCGTCACATCAGCGCTTAGGACGTGCGCCTATTCGGGCCAGCCTTGACACTGTCAATAATGACCTAGCCAAGTGGTGATTATAGACTATCCAAATTGGAATGGAAGCTTAGAACCTGCTTCAGGGTCTCTCTTTACACTTATCGAGGTTGTGCTGCTGGTAAGAAAGTTGGTCTGCTAGGTCGCTTTCAAACATTCGACTTCTTCTCGCTAACAGGACTATAGGCTTAGCACTCTGTATAAAAACAGCTTTTCCTTTCTATCTCAGAGTGATTTACCAGTTGTGGTATACGGTGAGAAATTCCCCTGTTCCACTCCGAATTAGACGTTGCGCAGTCCACCAGAACAGCCATTATCATGGCGGATGGAGGTAAGCTTAGTAGCCCGGGGCCAGTCAACCGCTTCCAACTCTCACAGCACAGCTGTCCTAACCCCACCTCACCATCACCGGATGATTCCTCAGCAGTAATCGGCCGACGTGGCTGAAGTTTGCTTACCGACGCGCCGGTAGGATAGGAAATTGTCTTGAGAAGGGTATAGGGTAAGTAGAATTTCCGTGGCGAGAACTTCAGCGACAAGTATTTAATTTGGCGGCCGCGATCGAAACAAGACTGAATACGACAACAAATCATGTTGAAAGTCATCAATTGTATAACCGCTACAGCGAATCAAAAAGTCTGGCAAAGGGGTTGTTCCCAAACCCGACGACGAAGGATTCGTTTCAATATCATGAATAGCAGATCTTCCAAAGGAGACAATTCAGCCGTCCGTCCGGCACCGCGAACTCCCTCTCGGCGAATTCATCGACCGTATCATATGGAGACTTGATGTGACGGTCGCGAATACTGCAATCCTCGCCCCGCGAGCCACATTGTGCAGTCCATGTCGAAGCATACTACGCATCATAACCCAAGGAAGGAGACAGTCGTGGCATCGGCAGGTTTCCCGGAAGCGGATTCAGTCTTTGGTAGTATGCGCAGCTCAGGTCTTCGTCTCCGGAATCTTTAGACAGGACGTGTGACCAGTGGGTTTCACCTCTACGATACATCACCATCGGCCGTTGCCATGTGTCTGTTCCGCCGTAAGATAGAGAGCCACAGAAATCTGCGCCATGTTTAGAGCGAGACGTCGTATGGGCCGTTCTTGTCTCGTCTTGAAGAGCTTGGTACGCGGAGGTGAGTGGGCAAGAAATTTACCAAGACTCATAAATTACCAAGAGCTCTCTTAGGCATCAGAAACGCTTCACAACACTTAACCACGGCCCAGGATGCCAATAGGATGAAAAGAGCGATAGGAGGGCCCCTGAACAACTTGTTCCTTGAAATGATTGCTTACTCGGTGACGTTTATAGCTGATGTGCCATCTCAAAATCTCAATTGGCAAACTTGTGAGAGGAGGAGGAGGAGCTTGCTGCACAAGCCAGGTCTGGAAACGATTTAACGAAGTTGTGGAGAGCGGAGCGCCACGAGCGATGCAGTCCAAGTGCATAAACATCAAGGACACGGAATTTACAAGTCATCGAACAGCAATAAAGTCTCACAAACTCAAGTCGCACCCTACGTTCATCTCAAGTTTCACTCGAAGTCGAAAGAAAGTTGAGATAAACTTCCCGTCTCGTTTCAGCAGGCCGCAGCATAGGATGGCACAAGGAGTGGGTAAACGAAAACCGTCTCATCATTTTTCAGACCAGGGGGTAAGTGTGTGTCAGAGACCAAACAAAGTCGCACCAAACCTCATCCCCATTTGACTGTTCTCGTCGAGTATATATGTACAAAGTAGAAGTGAAGCGTTTTCTGGATTTTTCTTTGAGAAACAATAGAAAATAATCTTTGTTTGGTCCCCAACGACCCGCTACGCGAATGCAATGATGCCCGTGTTGATCTTTCCCATAAAAAAACATACAGAAATGCTTTGGACCACCAGACAAGCAAAAAGACAACCCTTCCCATGGACTCGCCATACTAAAAGGTTGTCCGCCCTTTTTCTTCCCCATCTAGACAAAAAGAACACCACACCAAAAAAGCAGGCAGGACCGAAGAATAAAGTGCGAGTTGTTTGTATTTTCCCACCCCGGCTTTGTGTTGTTTTGTACAAAAACTTCGCTTTATTTTCACCCCAAGAAGTGTATACAAGACAAAAAAGTGTAAGAAGGATAAGAATGTGTTTGTTCATGAATCATAGATTCTTCTCATAACCAAATATAGCTTGACATGCGGGGGGGAAATCAAATCTACATCAAACACTTAGAAGAGCTTGTTGGAGCGCTTGTAGTAGCCGGTAGGCTTAGCGGCGCCGGAGGCGGTGCCGTTGGTGGGGTAGGGGGCAACAGTGACGGTGGTGGAAAGGGTGACAACGTCCTCATCGGCGGGGCAGTCATCCTCCTCGTCGTCCTCGCCGTCAGCACCGACATCACCGGTGGTGACGGGGGCCTCGGCGGAAGCGGTCTTGCTGGCGCTGGCGGAGGGGGTGGCAGCGGGGGCAGAGCCACCGATGGTAACGTAGACGGTGGAGGCGGGGATGGTGACGGTCACAGCGGAGGGGCAAGCGCACTGGCCGTCAGCACCGAGGGTACCGCTGGGAGAAGCAGACTCGGCGGTCTGGCCGGGGCGCTTGATGGTAACGGTGCGGGTGCCGGTGGAGGTGGCAGTGGTGGTGGTAGTGGGCTCCTCGCCGGCGCCGGTAGCAGAGCCAGTGGGCTTGGTAACGACGATGGTGGACTCAATGGTGGTGGGGATGGCGGTGGTGACGACGGAAGCGGTGGAGCCCTTGCCGACGGTCATGGTAAGGGTCTTGGTAGAGATGATCTCGGTGACGGTGGTCTCGACATCGCCATCCTCAGCGGGGCAGTCATCATCCTCCTCCTCATCGTCGCCGCCAGCTGTAGGGGGGCTGGTGACGGTAGGGTCCTGAGCAGAGTTGGTGACACCAGCGGTGGACAGGGGGATGGAGGGAGCGGCGGTAGGGGTGGTGATGACGGGAGCGGTGCGGGTAGAGCCCTGGAGACCGCCGGTAGAGTGCTGCTGAACCAGAGACTTGGAAAGGCTGGCAGCCTCGGTGACGGGGCAGACAACCTCGGTCAAGACAACGGTGTTGGTGACAACGTAGGTAGAGAGGTCAGAGGCGGAGAGGGTAGCGCTGCGGGCAGGGCAGTTGGTGATGGTAGGGGCGCAAGAGGTGACGGTGGCAACCTCGGTGACCTCGACGGTGAGAGTGGTGTAGCCGGCGGGAGCGGTGGTGTTGTCGCGGCGCCAGTGGAAGTGGCGGGGCTGGTAAGCGGAAGCGCTGGCGAGGGAGGCCATGAGGCCAACGGCGGCGATGGAGGACTTCATTTTGATAGTTGTGTATGGATTGTTTCCAACGACTCTTTAGATATCTCCACGAGGGTAGACGGTTTTGCTTGTTCGGATCGGGGATCGTAAAAGGGGCGAAAGATCAATTTCGCGGGGATGTTTCTCAAAGGTGTTGGCTGCAAGACACAGTTTGCGCAAATGAACGAATGGTATACTCGATAGAGAGCGTGGGTGAGGCTGAATGAATGGAATGTGTCCGAAGACTGACAACGAAAGACTGTGCGGTGGAGAGAGAAAGGTAGGAAGAGTAGGTGGAAGAGAGGAAGGGCGAGATGATATTTAGAAGGGGAGAGGGAGGTCAGAGTCCTTTTAGGCCGTGGAGCCCATGGTGGATGTACATGGGCATGGGAGCATGGGGGGTGGAAGGGGAGGGGAGCCTGGAGGGAAGTGGACTTGTGGATGGGATCGAAATCCTCAAGGCTCGAGGAGGAGGGTGGACTTTGATGGAGGGGGGTGGCCCCGGGTGGGAGCCACATTAGAGCGTGGGCCCTTCATCTTGGAGGGTGATGGTCCATCATCCATGGAGTATGAGAGAGTCTAGTCTCTACTCCTTGGGTAGACCGTAGAGATGCCATGGACATTTGGGATTGCAGGTCCTGGGCCCGGCCGAGACCCGTTGCGCTTGCAAGGCAGGCCCAGGTTGCCAGCACAGCGAGGGAACTTTCCCACTTACACTACAAAGTACTCCATACACAGAGCAGAGACGAGAGAGTGAGAGAGCGAAAGAGGCAGCAAGGAACTTTGTCGCGGTTCGACGGCGTAGGCGCATCGCACCGCATTAGGGGTGGACCGACTGGGGCCAAACGCTTCCTTGGCCCGCATAGGATGACATGGATGCCAAGGAAGTGTACCTGACATGGTGAACCGTCTGTGAGGGTGAGAAGGAGATGGCAGGACGCGCGAGACTAGTCCGGCACCAAGCAAGAGAAGGGCACTCCGTAGAGTAAGGGTGAGAGAGACAAGATGGTGGGAGGCTGGTACCTCGGGCTGCTGTGAGTGAGTGAGTAAGGAAGCGCAAAGTGAGTGAGTGGGCGAGTAAAGGTGAGAGTCAGAGTGAGTGAGGGTGTGTGTGAGTGTGTGTCGTTGGGAGGAGGCACGGAGTGGAGTGGAGAACCACGGATGTGGTGGGAAAAAAAAAAAAAAAAGGATGACGGTGCCGGGGTGTTCCTCAAGGACCCTTGCTCGATGATCCAGGGGGTAAGAAGAACCGCTTCCCACCTTAGGAAGCTGGGCTAAGGCAGAGGCGAACCAGCGGCCACCGCACCGCTTGCCGCACAGCCCTCGACTTTTGCATGGGGGCAAGAGATGAAGTCGCCTTTATTTTTCGTCTTCCATCTCGAGGAGTCAAGCGTCAAACCCACAGACGGAGTCCTCTTCATTAAAAGACAGGAGTGAGATGACCCCACCTGCGCCGGTGACGACGGCAGTCCAGGTGGCATTCGACGACGACGACGGCGGCAATCATGGATATGTGAGGGAATATGAGCGGTAGCAGTGATGGATGACCTGGGTATTGAGTTGTAGTCGAGAAAGTCAGTGTTGAACAGTACAATGACGGGAACAGTAGTGATGCTCGACTGAAGTGTAAGTGAGGAAGTGTAAAAGTAAGGTGAGGTGAGGTAGGTAGAGAAGACAGACCGTTGATGTTGACTCCTTTTTCGACCTTGTTTTTTCAAAGAGGCTTGAGAGATACGTACCGCTGGACGTTGTGTTTCCCCTTTGCCCAAACAGGAAAAGTCCTGAAGTGGTGCCTCCTACCCTACCACCTGTCAGCGCGTCGTTGCTATGCTCTCGCCGTGCGCGCCTGCCTATTGTCTTGGAATTGCCAGTTGTCAGCGCACTTCTTGGTTAGCTTACCCCTGTCGGACCAACCCCTGCCATCCCGCTCCTCATATGCAGGTACCGCCAAACATGAGACACAAGCGTGGCCAATCGTTGGGATCCACACCATCCACATCAGCCAGAATCCCAGTCAAGATCGCGGCCACAGGCGCCCCGTCATCCCTGACTCCTTCCATGAGTCCCTGTCCAGGATGCGAGGGTCCCTGCGATAAGCTGCCTTGCTGATCAATTTAATGAAAGATGTGATTGTGGACTGTATGGTCCCATACCTACGGAGCTGGATCTGTCGGCTGTATGTATGGACAATTGGATATTACTCTGTATGCTGTGCTCCGTATTCCTACGTACCTATCAGCTGAGAAGAAGCATCAGGGAGCATACATTTACTCCCACTTGTTTGCTGCCCGGAGCTGTACTGAAGCTTCTGCCATTGCCATCTGTACAGCTTCTTTGCAGATGCCAGCAGACTACGGCAGTCTTCCGTACAAAAGTGGTCCAGCCCTCTCACCACTGTCACCAGTAACCAACTTCTAGATCTCTTGCGGACCCAGTCGATGGAGAGCGTACCCGTAGAGAGATTGATTGCTTCTTGATCATCGATCCCGCGCGCGGGCTGCTCCTTCTTCTTAACTTCTTGCATCATGCCGGCCCCCATTCTCAGACCTCAACGTCTATCCGTACACAGTATCCCGGAGGGCTAAATTTGCTTTTTATTGAGAGACCATAAAAACGGTGGAGATGGCCTGTTGGCTGTTGCCGCTGTCCCGTCCGTGGTGCCCAACCACAGACATTGTGCCCTCCTGCGCTACACAAGAACAACTCTTCATGCCATTTTTCGGGTACATCAATTGGCAATAAGGTCATGGACCACCGTATGCCGTACGACATTCAGACATACGAGTATCCGTCCGTATGCACGGCCGAGTCGTCCCTCCTATGCGTCCAACCCAATCTGTGCGCATATGCAAAGCTTCGGTCGACGGTGACAGGTGCAACAGACCGCTAGCAGACTGACCGACAGTTGGCTCAAGCCCGTATCTGTACGGCGTACCTACTACGTGTGTGGTCAAAAACACCATAATAAGGCATGTGTCGTATTTTTGGCCTTGCAGACACGGCGATGCAAGTCTCAAAAATATCTACCTTCCTCAGAGGCTCAGCCAGCCGACCGTTGCATCAATCTGTTAGATTCTGTTTCCAAATATTCGTAGCTTACCGTTCTTTCCCCTCACTTCAAACCCCAGCCATTTCTCACCCTCTGTCCACTCACCGTTCAGCTTTCATTGTGATCCAGTCTAGCGCCAACAGTCAGCCAACGGGTCTTTGACAAATGCAGCGGTTAAGTCTGGTCCGGCGGCGCCAAACCTGAGTGAGCCACAAAAGGGCTAAAAATGAAAACGCCATGAGAGACTGCCGCTTAGCCGGGGGGTCCGTCTGCTTGACGTATGGTTTCCTCTCTCTCTCTTCTCCCCGTAGGCCCGTAGCGTCCTGATCCGCTGCGAAACTAACCAACCTACCTCGATGGAGGCGTTTTAGCGACCGACCTTAAACTCACTTAACCTTAGGCTGACCGTTTTGACCCTGCCCATCTTGATGTGACGTGAAGAGACGTGAGACGAACTATCCATAGACGCGCTGAAAGAGAGAGAGTCGTGTTGCGGTGCTAAATACGTGATGAATGGCGAGCGCGCCGCACGCGCGCGTGCTGTGGCTGACTTTACACTGCCGCCGACCGGAAATATCTGCGACGAAGCGGTAGCCAGTCGATCCCTTTTGCGCCCCTATTCGCATGTGTTCTACACTCCGGCACGATTGCAACCTGGCGCCGGCCTGCCTCTCACGGCAGATTCTTATCGGGAGCACTGCCCTACGAAAAATCATAAGTATTGTTTGTTTGCAGTGAGTGACGTAACATAAGACTGCACATCTCGATATGCACCGCTTCCGTTGCAGTGCACGAGCATTAACCAACCCTCGTACAACCTGACCCCTTTTCTCCGCGGGATATATCATACTGCGTATGGAGTCTTCGTATGGTAGCTATAGATATGTCGGGAATAGTCCGATAAAGCCTGTCAATAGTGACATCTTTCAGTCGTGCTCAATCTTGTGTCAGGCTCCGTGGCTAGGGAATCGGGACGGAAACTTGGAAGCGGAGGAGAAAGTAATGAGTCGGAGCGGCAGTATGTCGGTCGGCTCAGTGGCCTCATCCCCCTCAATTCTTTCCCTATCATTATTAGGCGCTTTTAATCGCTTGGTCGACTCGGGTACCTTGCCTTAGACCAGATTTTAGCCAGGAACATGTCGAGGCACCGACCAACAGGGAGTCTGCGCTCAGCCCCTTGGTCCCCCCTTTGGTGGATGACCTAGATTTGCTGACAGCCTCTCTCCAGTCTCTGGTCTCTGTTGTGCATCCGCACTGCGGTAATCTGTACTCCGGAGAGCCAAATATCAGGGGGATCGGATCAATGTGGCGTCTCTTCGGGGGGAGAATGGGATCGACGCAGTAGCCCTGAAATGGTCCATTGTGTGCGACGTTGTCGCGCCATGCAGTTCCGGAGTTGTTGGAAGTTTTGGAAGTTGGTACTTGGTAGTCTGGCCCCCAAAGTGTCACTGACCGACTGCCTCTGCCGCCGTGCCATTTCCCAGTCCACATCGTCACGTTGTCTCGATGCAACTCTAGACGGGAGACAGAGGGCCACGATCCATCAACCATCTCCCATCTGCCGCTGTGGCCAGCTGTGCCAAGACATGCGGTACGTGTGCGCCGACGTGGAGCAGGAGAAAATTTCCGCCTTCTCCATGATCGTCCATCAGAATCGAAGATGGAGTTGGCAACGCCGGGTCCAAGCTTTGTGAGTTGTCGTCCCGGTTCGTGGCCCGTGGTTTGTTCTTCACTACTGCGGAATGTTCTCGTCTCAGATGCCACGAGGATTTCATCGTTCTGCATCCTCCGGGGCTTGTTGGAATGTAGAACAGAGACTCGGGTTTCCAAAGCTCAGCTCTCGGCCGCAGCTGGCTTCAGCTGGTGCAACACAAAGCTCAATGTCTCTGGTGCTTTCGTGTGACCGACGAGAAGGCGTGGATGACCCTGCCATAAGCACCAGGCCAGCCAACCCGGCCAGAAACATGAGATCGAAACGACGGGATGATCTGATGGAAATGAGCATCATCAGACGGAGCAAAGGTCAGACTCATCCAGGTACCATTGCCCATGACCAGCCGCCACCACAGTGAATGAAAGCCCAGTCCACTGCCTGAGTACAGTTGCAATCCTCGCCATTTGGCTCGTGGCCAAGCATTGAACCCCCGAAGAGAAAGGTTTCAGACCCCCGAGGCGATCCCCTCGGCCCTCTTCCCTCTGGCGCTCAAGTATTGCCGCTCGCGGTTGCATTTCGCACCGCACTGCTGGTCTGCCAATCCTCGTCAGTTCTCTTCCCCCCGATATTGGCGGCGGAGACCTTCATCTGGGAAAACCTGCGGGAAAACTGCGCAAAGTTGCACACAAGACTCCAGAAGTCCAGCCTCCAAGTCGTCAATCCACGGTGCCACGGACCATGGCCCCTCGCCCCCTCCTCGGCAGGGGTGGAAACAACCAAATCTCCCCCCTCAGGGTTCGCCCCGGAAGTCCCTGTCACAGACTGATTGTGTCGAGATTATGTCGAAATGTACTGTCTCCAGCGCAACCGACACTTCTGTATGTACGCAATATGCAGGCAGCGAGGTGGTGTTCTTTTTCCTTCCTTTCAGCTCTGCGGTAATAATAACCGTCAGATGAGCCGGCGAGTCGTTACCCGGCAGTTCCCAACTTTTCGGGGCGCCTGGACTGGCCGGGTCTGGGTTCTGGGTCTGGCCTGACCTTGACCAACGGCAATCTGCATATGATTGCGTAGCTTTGCGATGGCAGCGATCCTGCTGGGCCGTTGACTTGATTAATCTTGCAGAAAATTCGCGCTGGAAATTGCACACCTGGAGCTTACATTATCTTCACCTGAAGACCCTGGACAATGATGATGAATCTGGTCACTTCTGATGAGGCTTCGAGCCATTCGTACGCTGCCGCGTGCATCCTGCCGGTGGTTTCGGCACGGATGGTGGACTCTGCCACTCTGGAGTTTTGAGCCTGAAGCCTTTGTCAGAAGTGACTGGCCGATTGATAGTTTGATGGATTGTTCCAGCTTCAAGGTTGTCAAATTGCTTGTCGAGGGAAGTTGTTAACGTCAGCCTGCACTGGACATAAGGCCAGCCGCTGACGACGGCAACACGGCTCCCGCCCGGTCTAACTCCTGGGGCAAGGCGGGAAGGTGGTTCCGACCCGGTGATTTCAGCTCCTTCGGTTCCTATCGCCGTCCGGTGCCTTCCTCCTCCTCCTCCGCCCTTTCCTACCTTGCCTATGTTCCTCCCCGGGACGGGCCCTCATCGTGGACTTGATGCCTGGATCAGGCAATAAGGTACTCAGAATAAGGTACTGAGGTATTCATACCTACCTCGATAGGTAGGATGTCACGATATTATACCTAAGGTACGGATACTCAATGTCCCTCAGAGACTCAAAGATTCAGACAAATCGGCGTCGGCCCATTCCATTGCATTTCGCCCCGCCATTTTGTCTTACACTCATCCTAGAAACCAACACGGGATTGTCTTCTCCTTCACCTCACATTCTCAACGCCTGGGTGATCACTGACCTTGGACCAAGACACATCGACGCCACCCCGCTTTGCCTCCCGTTGTTGCTTCTTTCAACTTCCACCTGCTTCACACCATCGCATCGCCTTCCTTGATTTGCCTCATGTTGGTCGCAACCGCGCCGTGATTGCCTTTCCCATTCCCTGATACGAAGACTTGATGCTCTGTCAAATCCTGCTAATCAAAAAGGACCGACCAGGCGAACCAAGTCGGAACACTCGTCAGAAAACGTCAAACACGGTAGTTCCCTCCCTGGCTGGCTGGCACTGCCTCCTGGAGAGCTGGGACTCTTGGGAGGGGTTCCTCCTGTCTGACACCCACGTCCCTGTTTTGAGTTTGGTCGCTTGCAATTGTTTGCACAGCATCGGTCGCTCACCCGAATACCAACCCTGTCGCCAAGTATCATGCGGCAGCTCCGTCCCCATAATCAACCGGGTCGGGTCATCCTTTCAACTACAGATTAGATTGTTGCACGCTGAAGTCAGCGAAAGCCATTCTCGAGTCTGAGCAATTTTGACGAGTCTAGAACCTCGAGCAACAAGTCGGCATATTGAACGGATACTAGCTTCATCACTTCCATGTCTTGTGTGGGAAATTCCCACAAGCCAAGAAAGCCTGCTGCGCCACCCGTTCGTACTTGCGGCCTCATAGGGCACAACAGCGGATGTCTCATTGAACGGGCCGCTTTCGACCGGCTTCGACTGACCCACGTGTCCGGAGCCTCCATGGCCGACCCCGCGGCATCATCAGTCTTAACCGTCTTAAATCGATAAATCGATGGTTCGGTGCCAAAGACGCGTGATCAACGGGACAAGCTACCATATGACTAGGTTGTCAAGAGCTGGGTAGTCAGAGATTCAAGACAGAGTCCTCTTGAAAAGACCCATTTTGATTCCTTTTACACGAATGCTTGTAGATCTGGAATCGACTTGGTAATTCAGCAACCCACGTTCGCAGTTGCACATTCAAGCGGACGATTCGAGATGCAGTCACAAACGATGCCCAGAATGACGTCCCAAAACGATACTCCAAGACTTCGTTCCAACATGGTGCTTCGAGCGATGCTCAACGGCATACTCGAAAGTTTCAGATAGGGGCTCGGAAAGGCCAACCCTATTCAACATGTACAACTTAAACGGCTCATGTGGTAGAGTCTGGTTGAACAAGACCAAATCGAAGCATAGTGTCAATTTCAACAACCAACGTTTGAAAACACTCTAATATGTGCAATTACTTCAACAAAAGCCATGTCAGATGGGTTGAAGATGGGCGGCGGGTATCTGGAGATCTCGAAGCAAGTGCTCGCCCTCAGCTTCAAACACACGCAGTTCACACGTGCGGCGTTGCCTTTGTCGCATGCTCTCACGATCCGCATGCCATTGTCGAGGGAGGCAGCTGCTGGTCATCAAAGACCACTGCTTGACTTGATTGCCCGCGTTGCTTGATGATGTAGTCCCGGGTGACTGCCACCAGTGAAAGCAACAGACCCTCGAGAAGGAACCCTCAGGGGCACCCGCTATTTTCACTCAGCAGAAAGATGACATCGTCAGGTCAACCTCCCACAACTTGACTGGGCCTTCTGCTTTCCTTGTCTGCCCTCTACCCTCCACTAGAGAAGCTACTTGCCAAATTCTCCATCTTCTTCAACCTCTCTTTTTGGCCTTGGCCTGTTGCAAGACAACCTCGCTCATCAGACTTTCATTTGCATCATTCTCCTCTTGGGCAGGTCGAGCAGTTTCTTGGATTGGTACCGAGTATTTTTCGCCAGCCATCCGACTATCACCACCTCTTCGCTCGTTTGGAGACCAAAGCAAACACAGAGAAAATCGAGCATCCACAGTGAAAACCCATCAAGATGGTGCGCGTCTGCTGCATCGGCATCCCTTCCAAGAAAAAGGGGGAGGATGAAGACGCCAAGGCAAAAGAGGCGGACCCTCCCGAAGACACGCAGTCGAAGGGCACGAAATTGAAGAACACGAAGTCGAACGATGCGAAATCCAAGAACACGACCTCGAAGGAGAAAATTCCGGCCCAGGTTCCGAAGCAGCCCCTTGTCGAATTGATCAAGCTGCCTCCTCCGGCCAAGCTGCCCGGAAGCAACTACAATTTGGAGCTCATGCTCAGTGGAACCAACAAAGGAGGCTCCATTGCGTCCTCTCGCCGCTCATACATGCGCTCTCCTGAACTGGATTTCATTCCTGATCCCACCGAGGTCGAATATGTGTCGGACCACGAGGATCAAATCGAAGCACCCAGAAGAAATGGTCCCTGGAGCAGACTCAGCCGACGCCGCTCTAACAACAGCAGCAAGCGGTCTGACAGTCCCGACAGTGACAAGCGGGTATCGATTATCAGCATTCAGAGGCCCTCTTGCAATCCCGCTGCTACGGAGATAGATGGGTCCCCGCAGTACGACCAGGCTGCTTATACTTACTCTGTGAGGCAGAACAACATGAGACGCATTCAAGCCGACCTCGAGAGCGAGCACAGTTCGCGATCTGTCACGCCTGGAAGTAAGAGATTCCGTGGGTTGGAGACAGTAGTGGAGGTTTCTGGTGATCACCAAAGCGAGCGTCAGAGCGGACCGCGACCGCGGAGCGGAATAGAGGTGGAGATTCCCACCGATGTTTCTGTGGTTGATATCACGTCTTTGCCGCACCCGCCGCCGGCTGCCAAGCTTTCGAACGAAGGTGTTAAGGTTCATCCTATCGATATCACCACTGGAGACCGCCGGCGCAGCAGCTGCCCAAAGCCTGATACCTCCACGAAGGTCACGGCAACAAATCTTGTTCTTCGAGAGCGAGGGTCACTCCCTGAAATGCCTCCCCCCGCCCCAGTTCTCCCTGCTCGCCAGAGTCGCGCCGATCAGGATGACGAGTCTTTCAGAACTTGGAGACTTTCCCAGTGTATCCCCCAAGGCGAAAGTCAAACGGCCCCCTCTCTTCAACCTCAGGATATCCCCCTCCCACTGGACGACGAGAGCACAGCTGCCTTTGACGACAAGGAGGCTTCTGAGGCCCAGTCTCAAGATGATTCTTCCAGCAACAGCGCAACTCTTTGCAACACGGAGAAGCCCGACGGCAAGCTCGCAGCCGAGTCCGTCGGCACATCCCAGCTTCCCCGCACCTCGGAATCTGCACAGTTCCAGGATGGTAGTGGCTGGGAGACCTGGCTGCTCGCCGAGAAGCTCACGTCTCAGGAGGATTCCGTCACAGCTCAGGATTTGAATGGCAAGGAGAAATCTGCAACTACAGTGCTTATTCGCAGCTCTGCTACCGAAGCTGGCGATGAGAAAGGAACAAACCGTCAGCTCTCGAGCCTCATCGGCTTTCCCCTCCAACAGGTTTCTGGTCACAAGTCGTACGCTGACTTGCCTTTGAAAGACAACTTGGAGGTAAACACTACTTTGATTGGTAGAACGCCCTTGCTAGTGAATGAGCCATCGCACTATCCGTCATCTTCTGTATACTCGTCTATGCAGAACACACGCAACGCCTCGCCATCAGGCTTCAAGGATGTCAGTGGTGACGACGATCGCAACAGCCTTGCCGAGAGTCTTATTGATCTCGACCTCGCCAACTTTGACTGTAGGTTTACACCGATCGCGGAAGCCAGTGTCTCAACTAATCAAGCAACAGTGTACAACCTCAAGGAGCAGCGTTCTGATAAGAGTTATCGTACCGCCCTAGACAAGAACCCCGACTCTGACACGGCTGTACCTTCTATCATCCTATCAGGCCAGGAAGGATCTGGCGCAGATGAAATTCGATTCCAGACTGAGAACCATCACAACTACGGCACCATGCAGAACGTCTCTGCCCCGAAGAGCGAGAAGCCTGGTTCACTTGGTGGTATTGAAGGCATGTCTGGTGAATCCCAGATCGACATGCCTAGCGACGGCAATGCACCGTCGCGGAAGTCTTCATTCCTTCAATTTCTGGGCATTCGTAGAAGCTCGAGTACCAAGGATCGACAGCAGTTGCATAGTCAGTCTTCCACGGAGCCCGCACAGTTGAGCTCCTCGTCGGTAGCGAACCAGATGTTCAAGCCACGGGAGAACACTGAACGGCTTTCGAGTCACAGCATCACTTCTTCGACCCAGAATGTCCTGAGCGATGCCGCATTCACTGCACCCAAACTCACTGAAAGCGCCACCGTGGTCTGGCAGCGAGCTTTCAAAGTTGAGCACGCCCAACGCGAGACCAAGTCCACTACAGATTCCAAGAAGTCTGCCATGGATAAGGCCAGCATGGGAACGATCTCAGTCGATGCCAACCAACTCTCTCACCATACAGAGCGAGACGCAGCTGGATTCTGTTACGAAGAAGTCAAAGCGCAGGATTTCATCACAACACGAAACGCCAGCCAGTCAAGCACTTCTCAGCAGTCTTGCTCTGGCACCATTATTCCCAAGAAGTCGGAGAACAACGAAGACGTCACAGGCACCAAATAGAATTTGGGCTTCCAAAAGATTGCTACCCCTCCCTCTTCTTGGGCCAAGTGGCCCTCCCACGATAGAGCCAAGAGAACTAGTACTGCGGGCCCTGATGACGATATGACGCCGAAGGATTTTGCGGCAGTCCCCGGCACGGAGACAGCGCAGTATGTTGAGATCGCCGGCAAGACTTCCATGCCGAACGTCGTCGAGATCAAGAAGACTTCTCAGTCCATGTCGAAGAAGCTTGGGAAGGCCATGAAGATCAGCTTGGGGAAGATGATGCCGTCCAAGCCTGGTGTCAAGTCGAGTGCTCAACTCGATTACCCCGAGCTCGAAATTCTGCCCACCAAGGAAGGATACAAAGACCTAGAAGCGCTCCAAAAGAGCATTGAAACCTTGAAGGGCAGTGAGCATGCCAAGATGGCCACCAATCCAGTTCTTGCTATTGCTGAGTTGGAGGACCAGCCAGCGTCCTCCCTGGACACTCTGCCTGCGCGGCTCCACGAAGCCGAGCATGCGAGACACGAATCTGCCAATGATACCGCCAATATCGTCCATGATGATGTTGTTCTGGAGAGCAAGAACGCTCACATGGGTGGTACTGAAGCTCCGACTATCCGGCCCGTTACACCGGCCAACATGATCATGCTTCCTGCGGGAGATTCCACCACCGCCACGACTGAGCAATGGGCTACCCCGGCCAGTCGTCTGTCTTTCACCACAGCTCTTGATGAGAATGACACAGGTGAGCTTTTTGATCTTATATTCCACAGCCGTGGAGTCTTGACGCCTCACAAGTTGAGACTGCCTTGGTGTATGATTTGACCTTGGAGCTAACTCTGACTCTCAGGTGATGATCAGCGGATCAATACTTAATTCTCGCAACACGGTCGTTACCGTTGCTGAAGTAGAGAGGTCCGGTCATCGACAGTAGTACGGTATAATTCCGTGGCGAAGAAGGATGGAGTACGGCACCTCAACAGAATTTGGCACACTATGATGACGCTCAGGAAGGGCAAGGGATGTTATGAATAAAGGCGGTTTTTTGTGGCTTGGAGAGTCTCGGCAAGAACATTCAGATAGGCTACGAGACCAGCTTTTTGTATGGTATAGAAAGGGGACGAGGTTTGAATTTCCCCAAGTGTATAGTTCTTCCTAGGCAGAAGGTTTCAAGGCAATATCTTCAAGATGACCCGAACGCTGCGGTGACACTAGTTCTGGTGAGGGGCTGATGACTCCATGTCCACTTTGTGCCAAAGCTGTTCAACGAGCTGGTGAGACTTCAATGAAAACCACATGGCAATGTTACAATATGTAGCATATCACGATTATCTTTTTGATTGTTTCAATGGTTGTCACTGAAGGTCATGAATCATCAATTCCGTGGTATCCCCTAGACAGCCAGCCAACGCCTCCGTAGTCAATGTACAGTATCAATATCCCGCGATGTAAACACCAGCCCAACACCAAGTCCGTCCACAACTCCCCATGGCTTTCCCAAGCTCCCTCAATTCCCCTGAATTACACAACGCGGAATTCGCAATGTGTCTGCATGTCTTTCATCCAAACAAGACATTCTCAAAACTCTGCTGATCCAAGTGCTCAAACAGCACGTCCTGCAGCGCGGCCCTGGTCTTGACGATCTGCGGCACGACGCCATCAATTTGCTGCAGGTTGGCCCGCATGCTCTCCATGTGGCTGCCGACCTGTCCCGCCAGACCGCGCAATTCGTCGTCCTCGAGGTCTTTGAAGAGCGGCGTGCCGCTTGCGACGCCCTCTTCGGAAACGATGAAGTTGAAGTCTGGCTCGTCACGCTTGACGACGTTCTCGGAAGCAGCAGCGGCGGCGGAGGCGGAAGCTGTGCCAGGCTTCCTGGCCTCCGGTACGAGGACGTGCGTCTTGCGGAGACTATCTTTGAAGTTGCGTGCCTCGGAGCGCGCGTTCGCTTCGAGGGTGCGGAGGGTTTCGTAGTCCTCCTCCAGCGCCCTCTCCTCGCGCTCCTTTTCGGTCTTGAGGAGGTCTACTGCGTGCAGGAGGGGGTCGAGCTGCCTCTCGAGCGCCGCGACGCCCTCGATGACGCGCTCGAAATTGAGCTCTTCGACGCGCCCGCCGTCCGTGTCGAGCAGCTTCCTGCTACTGTTCTTGCCCCCCGTAGGTGGCGCCGAGGCCGGCGGGAAGGGCAGGCCGCGGGAGAGCTTCTTGACGAGGCGGTTCGTGATGAGGTGGAGGGCGGAGGCGGCCTGGTCGCGGCGCTTCTCGCTGCCTGGGATGCGCTGGAGGACGGGTCTCTCGGCGAGGCGGAGGAGTTCGGAGACGATGGAGAGGGAGGGGTTCGTGAGCGGGGACCATTTCTCTTCTATTACGGAGCGGGGGACTTGGCGGACGCGGGCGGCGATGTGGCGGTGTTTGGCGACCCGTCGGACCGTTTTTGGAGCTTCGTTTTGTGGTTGCTGCTGTTGCTGCTTCTGTTGCTGTTTCTCTTGTTGGATTTCATCAGACGTGCGACGACGGCGTTTTTTCGCGGGCGCTGATGCTTCTGCTACGTCGTCCTCCGTTGGACGTTTCTTGGATTTTCGCACTTGCGAGCCTTGGTCCTGCGGGGATGCTGTATCTGAGGTTCGAGGACGGCCGGGCCGGCGACGTTGGGTGTCTGGTGACGCTTCCTCCTCCTCCTCCTCCTCCTCCTCCTCCTCCTCGCCTTTCTTCCGCCGCTTCTTGGTCAGCTTTTCGGCAGTAATCTCCTCCGCCGGTTGGGGCTGTTTCCCCTTCCACCTCCGGCCTTCTTTCGGTTCTGATTGTGACGCCCCCTGCGCCTCTGGCTCGGCTTGCGCTGCAGGGCGACCGCGTCGCTTTTTTACGGCCGCCGATTCCTCTTCAGCTGGTGGTTCCTCCACCTCCTCTACTGTGATGTTTGCCTTACGTCCGCGTCTCTTCTTGGGAGCGGCCTCAGCCTCCGCTTCCTCCTCAGGTGCAGGCTCTTCGACCTCTGTAGCCTTTTTCTTGGGCTTTCTTCCCCGTTTCTTGGGCGCGACGTCCTCCTCGGTAGCTTGTGATGGTTCTTCGGCCGCTGGTTTCTTGTCTAGAGACGGTCGCCCGCGCTTTTTCTTGGGTGCCGGTTCTGGAGATACAGCCTCCTCGACCTCCTCCTCTTCCGTAGGCTTTGCTGGTTGCCGCCCACGCTTCTTCTTGACCGCATTGCTTGTGCCGGCCTCTTCTTCGTCCTGGGCCTCCTCGTTTGCCTCCTTTCTTGGCTTTCGGCCTGGTTTACCTTGTGGGGCGGCTTTCTCTCCTCGACTTGTTGGCCTATTTTCGTCTGCCGCTTCCTCGCTATCTTTCGAATTGCTCTTGTTGGTCTTTTTCGATTTCGCTTTCGCTTGCGCTGGTTCGGATTCCTCTTCATTCACCTCTTCCACTTCTGCTTCTACTGCTGCTTCGCGGGGTGGTCTGCCCCTCTTTTTGGTTTTCGGTTCCTCGGCGGGAGGTGACACTTCAACATCCTTTCGTTTGCTTGGGCGACCGCGTTTTCCTGGTGCCGGTGCTTCTTGCGTTTCTACAGCTTCGAGAGAATCTGGCGACGCGTCGGCTGATCTGGACGCGTTTGAGGGGCGCCCTCGTTTTCGCTTCTGGTCTGTGGCTTTGGGGGGCTACTATCGTGTCAGCTAGAATCCGACATAATCACGATTGACAGTCTTACCATTGTGATATTCTGCGCCCACAATGTTATGTCGCAAGGGTGAATGTCGTCTCCAAGCGCATGCGAGCTTCCACTCAGTAAGGTGCCTTTCAGCATGTGAGCTCTTGACGCGTCCAGGTCCCCTCCACTTGGTCAGTACGTATCGACCGCTCCAGCCTCATGTGGCTGATGAATACGAGACATCCAATCGTGGCTGCTGCAAGTACCCCGGACCGCCGTTCCACCTGGGCGACCCGAAATGACGCTGACCAGCAGCAAGCGCCAATCTCATTACGGTTAGGCTGTGTGGAGGAAGAACCTCTCTCTCGTTCTATGGTGCGTGCTTCCGAGCTTCTGGCAGCGGGCGGGTTTCAGTGCTCTTCTGGATCCCCCAGGCGACCAAAGCTCCTTTGTTCCAGCCGGATCACCAACGGGACAAGGTTCAGGAGAAGCCACACGCTCTCCCCGAGTCCCCAAAGGGTCCCTCTCCAAACTGCCTGATTTCGCACCCGTGTCAACATCCGTACTTGGGCTCCTCTTCCACTTTTTTTTCCTCACATCCAAACTCTGTGTCCTTTTTTTCGTGTGTCCAAACTTCGCGCCGGAATCAGGTTGCCTGTATACTTTATCCTCGCCAACCCGTACTTATCGTCCCTCCTTGGTCCCTTGTTGTAGCTGTCGGCATTTCCTCCCTACTTGCCCTGCTCGTTGTAATTACGCTTCCCCTCACCCACCATCTCTTGGCCGCTTGATCACGACATCCAAGCTACCACCTCCTTTCTCTCTACGCGAAGCGACTTTCCCATCTCACACACATACACAGCCATCATCAACATGCGCGTGTCCGCCACCACCCTTCTTGCGCTCCCGCTGCTTGCGACAGCGGCCGAGTCGCCGTTTGAGCAGTACAAGGCGCAGTTCCAGAACTTCCTGAGCTCCTTTGGCGCCTCCGCGCCCAGCGCTGAGAAGGCGGCCACCCCCGAGGCCGCCGTGCCTGATGCGACAGCCGTCGATAAGAAGATCTCTGTCTTGACCGTCGACAACTGGAAAGATGTTCTCTACGAGCCCGTCAAGGCTGATGCCACTACCCCTGAGGAGTGGTGGGTTCTGATCACTGGTCGTAATAAGACCTGTTTCGGTACGCTCCGCAAACCGCGCCTCACATTGCTCCATGTACGAAGAGATGCTAATCCCTATCTACAGGCCACTGCGATAAGATCGAGACTGCCTTTAACGAGTCTACCATCAAGTTCGCCAAGCTTCCCGAATCCCCTCACCTGGGTCTCCTTGACTGCGACGACCAGCCCGTCCTCTGCAACGCGTGGTCTGCCGGCACCGCCTCCATCTGGTCCATCGGCCTGTTGCCCCCTGGAGCCGACGTCGATGTCTACAGGAAGCGCCTGAACATCACCACCACCACCTCGGACGACATTGTCGACCTGTGGAAGGCCCAGTCCAAGGAGGAGTGGATCCTGACGGACAACATTTTCCACCCCTTCAACAGCTGGATCGCCAAGAACAACCTGTCTGTCCCCGTTGGCTACGTCTTCTGGGCCTTCAACCTGGTCCCCAACTGGCTCTTCATGATCCTCGTCTCCTTTGGCAGCCGTACCCTGATGAACCGCCGCATGGGTAACACCTTTGACAACCGCGCCGCTGCCGCTGCCGGTGGTGCTCCTCCCGCTGCTGCCGCCCCTGCTGGTGGTGTGGCGCGGTAAATGGGGTGAGCGGCTTTTGGATAGGCAGTTGAAGAGAAGCTGGAGGGCACAATGGGATGGTTTTGAATATCCAGGCAAACCCGGGCAGTTGCGAGGATGCAACTGAGATCCCTGGTCATTTGGATTATATAGGGCCAAATTAGTAATCTTTAGTTGATCAACTTTTTCCGTCGCATGCATCTTGCACACTCTTGAGACCTTGAATGACGTCCTCTCCGAGCTTGGGGTTGGCGAGGCGTCCGTAGCGTAGATCGCTCATGCTGCCGACTGTCTGTTTGACCGACTCCATAAGTTTTGCTTCCTGAGCCTCTAGCTCCTGAATTTCTGCTTCGAGATCCGCTATCGCCGTGTCCATCTCTGGGACGATGGAGTTAATTGTATGGTTGGGATCTTGCGCCCCAGCCACGCCAAATAGCTTTAACCTTCATATTAGAGACTCTGGTCTACAATGATAATATGCAGCACAATCACAAGAACGTACCGCTCTCTCAATCTCAAGCTCCTGATCGGCATCCTCAGCTTTCGCACGTTTCTGGGCACGCGCAATTTCGCGCTTGATGACCCGCCCGTTCATCTCCTCATTCTCAATGTTTTCCGTGACCGTGTCAACGAGCGCCCTCCTTTGGTGTTGCAGATCACGGTACAAGGAGCGAATTTGCGGGTTTGCGCGGTGCGGTTTAGGGAAAAGCTCGGTGAACTCTTCGAGAGTGATTGCTGAGGGCAGCTGCGCCGGGACAGTCAAGTAGTTGTGCAGGATGGCGGCTTCGGTGGGCGCCATGATGGGTTGCGCTTGTGAGATGAGCTGCTTGGAAGCCAATGAGTCTAGCAAGTGGCCGTTGAAGTGGCAACCACCCTCGATGATAAGATATTTTACAGAAGGTTACCGTGATCTCTATCAAAAAGCAGGGGAGGGGATAGGCATGGATGGAGAGTCAGATATGTGAGCCCGTGAGGTAAGGTAGTTGGGTAGACAGTAAGGTAAGTAGACATAGCAGGCGGGATAGGTGGCGCTTGGCTTGGGGCAGGCATGGGAAGACGCGGTAGTTCTTGCGGGACGCGTTAATGAGCCGCAGCGCGTTTCACTCCGTAGGAAGAATCGACACACCTTGCCATCTTCACCTCATCCATCACAGTTGCACCTCGCGAAGACCGTTCTACCCACGACAAAACCGACGTTGAGGTAGTTGCCGTTGGTTTGCAATACGAATTGCAGTAAGACTTCAATTCACATCCTTTCATACTCGCTGTCAATCTTGGCTAGAAACTAACCAGTCCTCCAGCGTAATACCGTGTTAGCGACTTGATCAACACTGTCATCCGGATTGAGCGAGGTGCCACGACTGCTCACGATTCGTACTGTGCCAGCAGCCTCGAACCTGCGCCAACTCGCCTTGAAAGTGACTGTGTCTCAATCTTCAGCGCACTGTCCGAGAATTTAACCTCACTGCCCCTTTGGCCCATCAATCCATCAACGACATCCAGGTCATCGTCAGGACCTTGCTGTCGATATCCTTTGCTGGAGCCTATCGAGTAGATTCGCCAACCTTCAGCCGCCTTATCCAATCATGGCGCCCGCACGCCAACCGCCCCAGCCCTTCTCCAAGGATGAGAAGGTTCTCTGCTTCCATGGTGAGATGCTATATGAGGCCAAGATTCTCGACATTCAGCCTGCCGAGAGTGGCGAAGGCTTTCAGTATCGCATTCACTACAAGGGCTGGAAGAACACTTGGGACGACTGGGTTTCTATCGATCGCATCCGCAAGTTCACAGAGGAAAATAAGGAGCTTGCCAGCCAGCTGCACGCCCAGATGAAGGACCTACGCCAGAAGAGCAGCGCCAAACCTCCCAAGAAGGGTAATCTTCGTGTCAATGGAACTGATTCAGCTCGCGGTAGTGAGGAGCGAACTGCAGGCGTCGCTGCCACTGGCCGTGGCCCTCGTCGGGCGAGAGATTTCGACCTCGAGCAGGTGAGTGCCAAAACCGAGTTTCTTTATGTCTTGCTTTTTGTTCTACGGCTGTTTCAATTTTTGGTTTCTTTCAATGTGCCATTGTGTTGGTCTTCAAGTAGAGGCTCATTATGGAGTGAGCTTGAAACAAAGTCGGAAAGACGGGAAGGAGGAAGGAAACGATAGGGGGGTGAATGCCCTCATCTATGTGGGGCCATCAGCAAAGCTGGTCACCGAATACTTCCCGGCCTCTTCACTGCCGGGCGGCTGGTATTTATCTGATTGAAGGAAGGAGCGTTGTGTGAATTGGCGTCCATCGGGGCACCTGCCGAAAAGCAACTTTCACCTTCCTGTCCCGAAAAGTCTTCGCTGGTCAAACTCTTCTTCAAAAGCACACCTTCCACCGATTCCTCACATTCCTCCCACATCCCACTCTTCTCCTCGAAAATCGCCGTTTTAACTCTCTATTCTTTCCCGAAACCACCCCCTTCTCGCATTCATTGCATTCATAACGACACAACGTTTCCTGTCTTGCCTCGAAAATTTCAGGATACACGATCACAAACTTCATCAACTATCATCACTACCCTACCCAAGCTACAAGATGAGCTCCCCGGCTTGGGATAGTTTTGCTCGGGTGTACAACTGGGTTCTGTCGCAGCAGGCTGCGCAGTACTCTGGTGTTCAACCCGATTACGCCTCTCCCCCCCAACGCGGATTCATGTCTCGACTAGACTACGCCCGTCAACTTGCCCATTACCGTCACGATAACCCTGTTGGTCGAGCAGAAGATGCCAACGAACACGAATATCGACAAGATGTGGAAGCATATCAAGGCGAAGTCATCGAGGTCAAGAGCGATTACGCCAGTGACTTCGACTATGACAATTACGAAAGACCGGCTCCGGCCTCAGACGACTATCTGTATGGCAACGCCGACGTGATCAATCATCGCCCAAATCAGCACCACCAGCAACGCGAAAGACGTCAACCGGAGCCAGACTACGATGAGGAAGACGAGGCTTTCGAACAGCATCACAAAAGGCGTCGGATGTATTCGGACGAGGACGAGGACGGGGATGATGACTCTTATATGCCCCGATACTACTCTAGAGAGGAGTATGACGAGTATGACGAAGAGGATGCGGGCATGAACCAGAACGGATTCCACTATGGAGAGGAGGACGACGAAGAGGAGATGGGCGTGAACCGATTCGACTTTGAGGAAGATGAAGGTTTGAGGGACTGCGACGACACTCTGAGCGAGAGGCAGTATCGGAACAACCTGTTCCGACAGCGACTCGAATCTGGCGAAGAAGATGACACTTCCCTACCCAACACACGTCGGAGATACATGTCTAACGATGATGACTTCGATGGCTACGACGAGACATCTTTTCGCCCACGCAAGAAGGTTCGCTGGGCTTCACCCGTGTACGAGGAAAATGACGACGGGTTCTACCAAGCCGACGACGAAGATGAGGAAGACGAAGATCAGACAGTCGGGCGAGCCTCAGAGTCCGACGGCGACGTGGACCCTGCCGGCATCATCGACCTAATCAGCATTTCTAGCGAAGAGAGCGTTGGCAGCGACGACGACGACGGGACCAGCATAACCAGCGACTCCAGTATAGAATTCCTTGGGGAGCGTCCCGCGAATGCCAATATTGAGAACCATCATGATCTGCGAAGCTTCCAAGATGGCGAGTCGGAAGATGCCAAGGATGTCGTCGAAGAGGTTTCGCAGAGGCCCTGCGGCAGAAACAAGAGAAAGCGTGAGAGCAGTGTGGAAGAACTCTTCGGGTTCCGCCGTAATGTTCTACGCAGGCTGCAGTAGGCCGCCGTTGGCCCAACACACCAGCATCAGGAACATCGTGCTGCTGGTTCCGCCTATCTGGCAGGAGCGATCCCAGGCTGCTCCTTCCCGCAGCAAAACAAAGAGGTCTCCGATCTTCTATCACCGGATTCCCGCCCTGTCTTTCTCGAACGATACATAAACTCCGGCTTCTCTTTCTCATCTTTCTTGCTCGCAAAAAACTGCAGTCTACTCGTCAAATGCTACCCTGACTCTTTACACACTCTTCTCATTCATCATGGCTTTCGCGTCTCGCAAATCTCGGCCGGCCGAATTATTGCGTCGGCGACCTCATCACGATCAAGCGGCGACTTGGAAGGAGCCGCGCTTGCTGAGGGCGGATAACCTGGTCCTCTCGCCTGCTCCCCGCGCCAGACCCTATGTCACAAAGGACGGCAAGCCCAACTATGACAATCGCTACGATACGAGCGTCACAACTCTCAAGCGAGAACAGCCTGCCCGGACGAAGTCGTCATCTGCTCGCTCTCCGGAATTGAGCGAGGAAGACCCTCCGACTGTGAGTTTACACAAACGCAATGCTTGCCCCAGTGGGAAGCTTCCGCATGCGCGGATTGAGGAGGTCTACCATCGAGAGAAACCATTATCAGTTCGACAGCCCAGCGGCCTTGAGGCTTTTTTTTTAATTCTTTTTTTCCTTTCTTTGTTGCGCCATGCCTACTAGTCGACATAAATACTAATATCACACACCAGGAGGATGGATTTCATGCACGCCCGTCCATCAAGCTTCCCATCCCTGATCACATCAAGGCGATGCTGGTTGACGACTGGGAGAACATCACCAAGAACAATCAGCTGGTCCCGCTTCCTCACCCTCACCCCGTTGACGACATTTTGAGCGACTACCTCAACTACGAGCGCCCGAACAGGGAAGATGGTTCTGCAAACATGGACATTCTTGAAGAAGTCGTTGCAGGGCTTCGCGAGTACTTTGAGAAGTCTTTGAGCCGTATCTTACTGTACCGGTAAGTTTTTTTCTCATTGGACTTGGTTTCTCGAACTTTACTGATCTCTCCATAGCTTTGAGCGCCCGCAGTACCATGAGATTCGCAAGGTGTGGGAGAAGGCTGGCGAGGAAGACAAGCACAAATCTGTCTGCGATACCTATGGACCTGAACACTTGTGCCGTCTGATGGGTAAGTCATGTCCATTCGAGACGTCTAGTCTGGCTTAGTACTGATTCAAGACAGTGTCTCTTCCCGAGCTCGTCGCTCAGACAAACATGGACCAGCAATCCGTGGCGCGTCTGCGTGAGGAACTCTCCAAGCTCACCGTCTGGCTCGGCAAGAACGCAAAGAACTACTTTGTCAGCGAATATGAGACCCCTTCTCAGGAGTATATCGACAAGGCTCGGAGCTTCTAGGCGGCCAGACCTCATCTTGCATCCTGAGTCAAATGGTTAGCCGACTGAACGGCAGACAGTTTGACGTTTCATCTTGACTTTTTCTTTGCATTATTGGAATCCCAGCACCTGGTCATGCAGGCTCGGTGAGAGGTTTAGTTGGAGGTGTGGAAAATGGACATCCAACATCTTTGTGTCGCCTGCTAGTATCAGGCATACTCAACCGGTATGAGAGTTGAGACAGATAGTAATCATTGTTTTCCATTCGCAAAACCATCCTTTCCTAGAACCTTTGTGTCTTGTGAGGCAATTATAAGAATTTGGTCCATGCTGTGCCTTGTTTGGCTCTTTGCTATGTTCAGCACCCGGGCAGGTCGTTGTCAGCGTGACAAGCTCTTCATGTGCCAATGAAATAGACATGCTCGAATTGAGTGAACTTTTGTTTGATTCCAAGTAACTTGATGCAGACATCCTTGTCTACGTATGTTTGTTGTACAGTCCGCCATAATTTTGTACAGTTTTCTCCGTAGTGATGATACACGATTTTGGCATCTGCCGCGCCCGAGCTGTTGCTGTCCAGCCTGATCATGCTCGAGGAACCTATCTCCTCTGGCAACCCCGAACACCTATCCTCTCTTCGCCCTCTCCGTCCCTTTGTTCTTTTCGTGGATTCCTTCAGAACCTCGACCCATCTCTCACTTCATCCCCTTCCTACAGTCCCTTTACCGCGCAACAGCCTTCTCGACATAGAAACCCGGATCCGGCCTCCGCAGGTCGCGCATCTCGGGCTGGGTCATGGCGCGGTCAACCTCCTGGACCTTGACGAGCTCCTTGACCTTCATGATCATACCGGCGAACTGGGGGCTGACGGGGTGGAAGACGGTCTGGGAGCGGCGGCGGAGGCCGAGGGCCTCGAGGACGCCGCGGGTGCTCTTTGGCAGGCCGATGGCGGAGCGGTGGAGGGTGATGCGGAAGAAGGTCATTGTGGCGGCGGGGGTTGTTTTGATTCAGGTAAAGTAGTGGACGAGTCGTGGGTATGGATTTGGCTTCGTCGTCGAGAGAAGAGTGCTTGCGACGTGGGTTGTCGTGTGCTCGTTGCTCGTTCGATTAGGGATGGGTGATGGCTTGCTTCTATCGAGGGATTGATGTTAGCGTCTATTCGTACAGCTCTTGAAATATACGTTAGAAGCTGAGGATCTACCGTACGATTGATCTTCTACTAAAGCAATCTTTCCGTCGCGACGTCGTGGGATTTCAGGGAACCGACCCGGTGCTCAATAGCCTGCCTGGCGATGCGATCGAGGGATCCAAAAATCATTAAGCTGGCGTTGGAATTTCGATGGTCCGTGCGTCAGTCACGGGCGGAAGTTGCCGGGGCGCGGTCGACTTGAGGTGGCCGTCAGTCCCACTTTTTGGGTTGTCTATCCCCTCAGAAGGAGTGAAGCCGCTCGATTGGTATGTCCCGCGCGAATGAATTATTGGCCAATTCGCAAGGCTACGGAATACAGACGTGTGACATCAACAAGGCCCAGCCGGCATCTGGACTGGCCGTGTTAGTTTGCTGCGGATTGTCCGAGACAAGGAGTCGTAGAACCTGTACAATCCTTCAATCATGCGTACGGCGTAAACAAGAGGGGAACTCTCTCACGAAATATCCTTCATGTCAAGTTTATGTCTTCAACGAGCTCGTTGTCTCTTGCAAGACCAAATGCTTTAGTAGCTATTCATAATTGAACTCGTGATGCTATTCTATGGTCGTTTCGACTGGGTAAATGCCATCCCATGCCGGGGGGGGGGGGCAATGGCCATGATCATTATACTCGCTAGCGTGGTCATTTTCTCCCAAGCTATTTGATCTTAACAAGTCGGACTTGTTATCTACAATTCAATTCAATCATAAGGTGTGAGAGGCAGGCCACAAAGTCCTTTCTCCCCCCAAGGCTTGTATAGGAACCCCTCTCTCGCAATGGACTACCCAAGTATGTATCTCATGAGAGCAAACTGAAGCGCTCTTGGTCTAAAGCGCCACCTGAGAAGATTTGGGTCAACTCTGACGACACAGAACTAGATAGTCTAGTACCGTCAAGCCCTCACTGTTCCTTCAGCAATTCGTACATCAAATCAAGAGATTGATAGAAGAACACTAGATTCTCCTAAGATGACACAAGTTAAGTCAAAGGTTGCCGACGAAAGCTGCCGGTTCTCACGCATCCCGAAAATTGCGTAATAAGTCCAAGCCAACACCTTTCCGGGCCGGGTCACCATTGCGGTCCGAACGGCCCAACCAGTTCGACATGTTCAATTTAAGCTTATCCAGAGCTCCATCCGAACGCTGGTATCGGCCCGCCATCCGATCCCTGAAGTGACTGCCACTGCCGCCGCGGGGGCACAAGCGCGCCTTTAGTGTCTCGGAAGTACCCGATGTCGCGGTCGACAAGGCTGGCAAGTAGTCACTATTCATGTCACGTCAAAGGCAATGCTTCAAAAGGTAATCGGGCAAAACCATTAGTATATCCCGGGGGACTGCGCAGCACTACACGTATATAGCTTGTCGTACAAGACGCCATTTAGCACACCATCATCCCTCGCATGACGTTAAAATCATAGACTCCATTTCTATAGCCACATCCCGTGGCAAACCGTAACCTTCCGCCGCTAATCGTTAAACCCTTACATCTGCACCTCCACTCTGCCCTCGGCGCCTGGTGCGCCGCCGCCGCCGAGCTGAGGAAGGATGTAGGTAATGTCGTCCCACGGGTGACGGTACAGACCAGTGCGGAGTCTCTTCTGGTCGAGGTAGTGGGCAATAAGACCGATGGAACGGCCGAGAACGAAGAGACCGTTGAGGACACCCATCTTGAGATAGTCCTCGGCCTCTTCGGAGGAGAAGGCACCGCAGTTGCGCATCAGGTCAACGAAGCAGACAGCAATGCAGCCATCGACGTTGAGAATGAGGTTGTCCTTCTTGGAGGTGGTGACGGTCTCGACAGCCAGGGCGTAGTCGAGAAGCTTGTGGGTGGGGAACTTGGCCTTGACGTACTCCTTAACAAGCTCGACACGGAGATCGGGGTTGTTGCGGGACTTGACACGGTGACCAATACCGGGGATGAGCTTGTTCGCCTTGCGCATGTTGTCGACGAACTCACGGGGGCTCAGGCCCTTGTCAAAGGCCTTGGTGAACTCCTCAGCGGCACCGTCAAGGGCACCACCGAAGCGGGAACCGATGGTCAGGAGACCAGCGACAAGGGAGGAGATAAGGTCCTTGCCGGCACGGGTGGTGATAATGGTGTTCATGGCACCGGACACGGCAGGGCCGTGGTCGGCAGTAAGCATGAGAACCATCTCGAGGAACTTGGAGGCGTAGGGGGGAAGGCGGCGACGGAACCACAGAAGGGACATGACACCACCAATGCCAATCTCTTCCTTGAAAACGTCGGAGATGGGCATGCCAGCGTACAGGAGCTCCTGACCACGGTCGTCGGAAATGGTGGAGATGAAGGCAGCGGGCTTACGGATGAGACCGAGCTCCTGGGCCCAGGAGTAGTCGATGGGGATCTTGGGAACGACGGGCTCAGGCTGGGGCTTGATGGTGCCGTTCTTGACAAGGGAGTCGTAGAGAGCCTTGAGGACCTGGGGCATCTCCTCGAAGGTCTCGGGGACGTAGAAGCCAGCCTCCTTCATCTTCTCGTTCTTGGTCTTGGCCGTTTCCAGGGTGGAGTTGGCGAAGGCACCGGCGTGACCGAACTGAACCTCAGTCTTGAACATGCTGGCGCAGGTACCAATGGCCCAGGCAACGATGGGCTTGGTAATGACACCGTCCTCAACGGCCTTGATGACCTTGTACTCCTCAACACCACCGACCTCACCGAGCAGGACGAGAATCTTGCAGTCTGGGTCGGCCTGGTATCTGAGCAAGTGGTCGATGAAGGTGGTTCCGGGGTATCTGTCACCACCAATGGCCACACCCTCGTAGACACCGTCGGTGTTGTTGGCGATAATGTTGTTGAGCTCGTTGGACATACCTCCAGACTTGGAGACGTAACCAACGGAACCCTTGCGGTACAGCTTGGAGGCAACAATGTTGTCCATCATGCCACCAGTGTTACCGATCTTGAAGCAGCCAGGCTTGATACCACCAACAGTGGCGGGGCCAATGATGGTGATGCCCTTCTGCTGAGCCTTGTGGGCGATCTCACGAGCGCGCTGATTGCTTGTTAGCGGGGTTCGAACCCAGAGGAGAAGAGGAGGGACTTACGCGCTCGGGGACACCCTCAGCAATGATGGCAATAGTCTTGATCTGGGGGAACTCCATCAACTCCATGGTGGAGGTGTAGACACTTCGGGAGGAGGCGAAGTTGACGACAACGTCAACGTCGGGATGCTTGGCAATGGCCTTGGGGACCTCCTGGTAGACGGGCAGGAGAGTCTCGCTGGTTCCCCAGTACATCTTGGAAACGAACTGACCACCGAAAGTGTAGATGATACCGGCGACGGAGGGGGTCTTGCGCTTGCAGATGAAGTCGAAGTCGAGCATACCCTGAACGGCGCGGGGCTGCAGACCGTAGACGAAGCATCTGGTCTTGTCGTTGAACAGAGCGTGTTCGGGGAGAGGGCTCAGAGGACGGCTGGGAGCCGAGAAGCGTGTGATGTTGTCGTTGGCAGACAGGCCGCTGGCTGCCTTGGCGCCATTGGCACCGTTAGCGGGGGTGGTGGCCGAAGGCATTGTGAAGAAAGTCGAGCTTCGTCGGGGAGGATGAGAGTCTCAACAAGGGAAGAAGAAAAAAGATTCTGGCGAGGGGTAACAAGGTCAGCAAGCTTGTTCGAAACAGACAATGGGCGCCAGAAACAAGTCTATGGATGTCTGCCCGCGAGAGAGATGAAGGAGAAAGATGTCCAAAGTAAGGATTGGAAAGGTTGAAGGTGGTGGAGGAGGAGGATGAGTAGTAAGAGGAAGTTTGGTGGAAAACAAACGAGTCGGAATTATGGTGGGGAGAAGGTGAGATTTCAGGAGGGACTCGGAGAGACGACAGTTCGCTCAGGGAAGCTGAAATCGTTGGATCTGCGAGGCTACATGCTCATCGGCAGCTGGGGACACCACCAGACATTAAGTGGACCTTTGTAGCTGGCGTAGCCCCAGCTCCTTGGTGGGAGAGACTTTTTTTTTTTGGTCCTGGTCGTGTCTGATGCGATGTGCGGCGGCGAGCGGGTGTGGAAGTGACATGAGGTGTGTGTGAAGCGTTCGGAGGTGGGAAAGAGGCGTCGGAGGGGCAGGATTGACATGACCGGGGTGGGTAGGATTCGGGGAGCGGTAACTGACCTGGCGGTGATGCTGTTGACTGTCTAACCTGGTATGGGTAGGTACTGATGGATCAAGCAGCGGCGCACAACGGCAAAGTCCAGCTTCTTTTTTTGTCGAGCTGACGGAGGAGAGATCCTTTGATGAGAAAAGGGATTGGCGTGGGGGTTAGAGAGAGAGAGAAAAGGAAGCTTCTCAAGAGCAGCAAGAGGGTGAGAAGAAGGAGGGAAGGAGAGGAAAAGCGAGAGAGAGTCGAGTGAGAGTGAGCGAGGGTCGGAGGAGAAGAAGGACGGAGGTCGGGTATCGTAAGTAGTTGAGGAGCACGGAGACGGGCCACCAGCAGGGTGTGTGAGTTTTTGGTGAGGTGGAATTAGTATTTTTTTTTCAAGTATTTTTTCCATAGACCATGGTTCTCTCTGTTCCTTCTTTTGCTTGTTGCTAGTGTACGTCGGATTCTCTCCAGCGGGAATCGGCAAGGGAGTGGGAGGAAGGAACGAACGGTGTGCTGTGCGTATGTAGTGCGCGGTGCGTGGTGCGTGGTGCGGACGAGGTACATGGCGGTGCGTGGGTGCGTCTTGCGTTTGTGTGAGGTGATGGTGAGCAGGGATTGTTTTGGCGGGCTTGCGTCCCAAGTATCCGAGGGAGCAACGCAATGAGCAACAAGAGGAAGGGGACAGGTCCGCGTTCGAGTCAAAGTCAGCCTTTGGAAAGAGGTACCTCTGATACTTGGCACTTGCCCAAGCACACACGACCACGTTGAGTACCTTACCTTCCATTACCCAAGGTGAGGTGAGGGAGGTATCCGTATCTGTCTGTACACGTCCTTATCGAGACGAGACCAGATTAGGTACCTTACCTTGGCTCTAGATCAGAAAGGAAAAGGTCGAATCCCAATCCCAATAATGGCTGGTCACCAACAATGCCAAACAATGCTTTGCAGCGGCAGGAACAGAACGGGCGGGCAGAAAGTGGTGAACCAGCAGCAACGGACGGGATGAAATGGTGGTGGTTGTGGACTCCCATTGTGGTGAAGGCTAAGGTACGGAGTAAGGCAAGGTACTTTGCGGAGGGGTCCTCGACACCGGCAAGTGCCTAGGGAAGGTACGGGCGATCAGTATGGCCGGCACTGCGTCGGGTCAGGTACAGGGCCCGGTGGATTTTTTGGGGACGGCTTGACGGCGCAGTGACACATAACTCTGCCAAAGTCGGGCCATTGGGACGCTGAGAGAGAGAGAGAGAAGCCTGAGACTTTTCTTCTTGGGTTTGTGTGGTGCGTGGTGCGCGGTGGTGCGTGGTGGTGCGTGGAATGGAGGGGTGATGGGGAATGGGAATTGAGAAAATGGAGACTTCCGTCATGCGACGGCCGAAAGAGTTGGGGAAGTTCCCGACCAATCCCCCTACATGATTGGTCCGTGGATTGTTGAAGTGTTGAATTGGCCAGCGGGCAGGGAAGGGAAAAGGCGAAAAAAGGGAGATGCGATGGGACCGCCCAAAGGCACATAGCTCACGCACCAACCAGGCAAACGGGCAAGGACCCTTGGCCCCCGCTTGTTTCTGGCGGACCCCACACAACATCACCTCACTGGGTAGGTACCTTACCTTACCTCACGGACTACGTATCGCAAGGTCCCAGAAAAAAGGTCCCGGTAGAAAACCTGAGCTAAGGTACTTGCACCTCATGGACAGGGCAAGAAAAATAACTTACACAGGGCAACAAGGCCGTACCTGGGGGACGCTAGACTGCTAGTGGCCAAGCTCCTTGCCAAAATTGGAGCTCACCTCACCTCACCTAAATGCTCTCTCTCTCTGCCCCAAGGAAGCTGCCCTGTCCCACGACTGCCTGACACTCACTTGCTGCCCCAGGCTGGACCTGACTGAGCTTGAGCCCAGACGGACGACGCTGCAACTGCGGATAGACCAGGTACCGGTACCAGCTCCATCCGCGGACGGGCTGACCTGCGTACCTGCACAAGCCCTGACTCTCACAGTCTTTTTTTTTTCGGCGCCCTTTCCTGCTAACATAGTTTCCAGGTTGGTGCAACTCGCACCTCTCAGAAACATTGGGCAGAAACAGATGGAACAGACTGAACAGACGCTACAACGATAAGATCTAGATCCGTCATCCGACAGACAGACACTCGACCTCAAAGGGAACTCAACCAGTGAGACGGGCGGTGTCCGCCCGCCGGTCACCGCAATGTCAGTGTTACTATCGAATGGCGGTTGTGTCTCTCTCTCTTGTCCCAATTGGAGGTTCCAACTTCCGGGAGCTCCCCCCCGCCCCGACCAGTCCAAGTTGAGACCAAGTCGGCTCGGCTGGCTTTGGCGCTTGACCGCCAACAATACCTCTTGTCGGGAGGCGCCCATAGCTCTCTCTCTCTCTCTCTTATCGTACCTTGACGCACAAGGGCTTTCGGGAATGCAGCAGCCTGCACTTTGGTTTGACCGCATCTCGAGTCTCGCCCAATGGCCTCGGACTGGATTGTCAGGGAGGATCGACATTCGCCAACTTGGCCGCCGGGATGGCTTCTGGGATTGTATGTAATCAATCTGAAGACGACTGGGTTACACGCACACGCCTATCCAGACACCGTTGATGCTATGCAACCACTGTACCAGCAACAGGGCTTACACCGTCAGGTAGAAAGAGGCGCTGGGAGGCTCGCCTGTCTGAGTGGGGGCGAGGCGGTCACTAAAACAGCCTCGCCTCCTTGCCCGTATTCCTTCCATCGCTGCATGCGACTGGAGGGTGGTTGTTGCTGCCAGCCAAAGGAATCGAGGTATTATTCCCAAGCCTGTGTGGGATTCTGTGTGCGTGAGAATGTGTGTACGCACTCAGAGAAACGGGGAAGAGACGATGTTGTGCATCCATCCAGATCCAGGTTTGTACGGGTACAAGGCCACTTGGGATGATGCACTACCTTACTCTATTCGACCAAAGAGGGAAGAGAAGCAGCAGCAAGATACCCGCTTGAGAGAAAATTCAGATTTCAAAAATCAAGGACACTGCAGATGCCAGACGGAACAATGCGGCGATAGTCGTAATTGCGAAGCGCCGCGAAGAAACCACGGCCGAAACAGACCGGCGACGGCGACGGAGATGAAAAAAAGAGAAGAAAAAAAAGCACTCAAAAGACTCGCGACTAGGACAAGCAGAGAAAGACTGAGAAAAAAAGACCCAAACGGGCATTTCAGTACCCATGCTCGCATTCCCCGAAACCCGGCATGCCGCATCCACCTCCGCCGGTTTTCGGTCCTCCCCATCATCACTCCGCCGACCACCGGGCATTGCGCACCTTCATCCTGAAGATACCCGAGTGTGTGTACGGATGCGCGAGTAATAGGAGCTGTTCTGTTTTATTCCCACTCACACTCGTACGGGAACACGAACGGTCATCGCCAATGGCTCCTTGTCGTGGCTTGGGGATCTGGTTTTCGAACATGACAGAGCCAGACAGGTCATGCTGAGCGAAGCTAACCCAAGCAATGGGAGCGAAGAACGAGTAGGGGTCGATGTGCCGTCTGACCAGGCAGTCCAACGTCTCACTCGAGGTTGATTTGATGACTGTGCTTGGTCGTCGTCCCAGGTGCCAATCCCAGCGCCATGGCTAATTACGGCGCCAATGCCCGGTTCCTGGACCAATTTGTGTATCCGTACTTTGACTGACACCGAATTTGGGGGGATCTGACCTGACATCCGGGCCACCGTCCGTTGTTCCACGCACGAGATGAGAAACGTCCGAAATCAAAAGTCATCCCGCGGCGCTCGAGTGCGCCCGAATCGGTAGCACTGGAAACGCAGCTCTCAGTCTCCCGCTGGCTACCGGTGGATAAGCAACGGCTTTTTTTTCTCCTTTCCTTCTCTCGGTTCGTTTTTGGCAAGGGCCTGATCCTGATCCTGATCTCGATCGGATACGGGGGACGGACAAGAACAGAAACAGACCACCCCCAATTTCCCAAGGTAAGGTAAAGTCCGGATAGGTAACCCCAACCCACGAGAATGGAGAATCGTCTGGAAGCATTGGAAGACCACAGCCGGTGTAAGCGACGAAGCGACGAGGATGATGCGCCGTACCGCTCCGCACCGGCAACGTCCTCAAGCTCCATATGATCCAGGAGCCAGCAGTCTGTCTTCTGCCCTTTCCCGTTCGGCTGTGGTGCACCTGCAGCATGTTGATGGACCATGTTGGAATCAGTGATGGTAAGGTTGCTGAGCACAACAATGCAGCACCTAGGTGTATGTACAAATGGCGGTCCCTGCGATTTTCGGCGGACATTCTGGCGCTGGGGTTGCATCGATCCATCATCCGGGAAAGGGCGGCAGAGGTGGTGGTCCAACGCTTGCTGTGTACTGCCATGATTGTGTACTGCGTGTAGCTGTAAAAATGCCGGCCTTGCGCCCCTGGGTGGGAGGGAAAATAGGTCGATCATTGTTGCCGTCCATTTCGTTAGGTTTCTTTTACCCATCTCCCGTCCTCCCCTAGAGATTCTCACTCGATCTTCCTTGGTCTTTAGAGCCTGCAATATTGTCAGTGAGTGAGCACCTCAGAGTGACTTTCGAAAAGGTACGAGACGAGATCCACTTAAACCTCTCAACAACCACTGCCTCTCTCTTTTTTTTCATCCACCTTTCCCAAATTCCCCCTCCCCAGACTTTTTTTTTCGTCAGGTTCCATCTTGGTCGAATTCCCCTGCCCTGCCAGCATTTTCCTTCTCAACCCCTCCATCCCTTTATTGCATACCTTGTTGCAATTCAACCTGCAAGGTTGTCGACAATTTCAAGGTGAGTCCCAAAAGAAGGGGAAGAATTGAAAAGGGTATGGCAGGTAGGACAGGTACAGAGACAGGTACAGGTTACAGGTACTTGCCTGTCTTGCCTGTCTTGCCCGTTGCCCCTTCCCTCCCATTACACTTGCACTTTCCCACCCGTTTTTCCTCGCAGTCGTTCTTGCTTTTTGCGGATATGTCGAGTGTGCCCCTGTAAGGTGTCGTGTGTTCTGCCACCGCCATCGAGGGGTAGCGTGCATGGACAGCTGGGCTGGAGCTTCCCACATTCCCACCCCCCTCCGAGAAATACACCCGGTCCCCAAAAATACTTTCCCCTCCCCCCAGTTTTCTTTTCCCTCTCCCGGAGCTTGCGAGAGATTCTCACAGGTCTCTGGGTTTCAATGCACCTCACTGCACCGCACAACCACAACACACGCACCACCCCAAAACTTTTTGGCGTGGTCCCTTAGCTCCCTCAAGGTGCAAGGTGAAAATCCACCGATTTTCGAAGCCACCAAAACACACGATCCCGGTCGGTACCTGGGCGCGCTTCGTTGCCCCAAGATGTACCTCCCGTCCCTCTCCCGTCACTTTCTCACCCCTCCCCCTCCCACCACACCACCGTCACACACACACACACACACCCACCCCCTCCTCCTTCGTCCGCTCTTCCTGCTCTTCCTCTCCCCGAAGTCCCAGCAACAAATAATCCCTGAGAGCTTCGACAGAATCCAAAATTTTGAAAGGCTGACGATCTTCTCCCTCTCTCTCTCTCCACGCACCAGCACAGCTTCTCTCCTTCCACTCCATTCCTCCCACTCCCCAATCCATACTTCTCCTTCAACCTCGCCGCTTCTTTCTTCCCTCACACACCGCTCTGCTTGACTCGACTCGACTTCGATTCGACCTCCGATTCCTGACATTCACTTGATTTCAGGTCTTCACCACAACTTCGTCCCCAGACTTCGACTCCGTCGCCTGGTTGCACTTGCTCTCTCTCTCTCTCTCTCTCGGTATGTCCTTGCCTCAGTCAAACCCCTCCAAAGCTCAATCTTGTCGTCTCGTCTTTCCCCATTCCAGCCGAGTCTCCAGTTGGGTCGTGAATGCCCCTCTTCCAGAGCTCGGCGCGAGCATCTTGAGTCTTGCGCTTGCTTGCCGTGGTGACACTTGCCGCCCAACGAAGCTCCTGCCAGAAGCTCAGCCAGCTGAAAGAAAGTCTACGCCTGGCTGACGGGCAGTGGAACTCCAGCGCCAACTCCGAACCACACAAATACACTTCGTTTTCCAAAAGCAATTGCTGACCAGTCCGCTCCCAATTCAGGCCAAATAAAGCAGGGAAAAGAACTCTCAAGAAAACTCACCTCTTTCTCACCTCACAACCGCCAGAATGTCCGCCAAGTCTATCCTCGAGGCCGACGGCAAGGCCATCCTCAACTACCACCTCACCCGCGCTCCCGTCATCAAGGCCTCTCCTCTTCCCGTCCCCACCAAGCACAACCCTCCCCCCAGGTTGTGCTCTCTGCACTTCCCCGAGGACGCCAACGTCGAGGATGTCCTCAACCAGGCCGAGGTCACCTACCCCTGGGTTCTCCAGCCCGGTGTCAAGTTCGTCGCCAAGCCCGATCAATTGATCAAGCGCCGTGGCAAGAGCGGTCTCCTGGCCCTCAACAAGACCTGGCCCGAGGCTCGCGCCTGGATCGCCGAGCGTGCTGGTAAGGAGCAGAAGGTCGAGACCGTCACTGGTGTCCTGCGCCAATTCCTCGTCGAGCCCTTCGTTCCCCACCCTCAAGACACCGAGTACTACATCAACATCATGTCCGTCAGAGATGTAAGTTTGTCGCCGATTTCCTCCCCTTTCGAGCTGGCGGATGCTTTGTGGCAGCAGCGGCAGCGGCAGATGATTCCTGGCGAGGCGTGGCGTGGCGGGCCGTCTTCTCCAATTCGTTGGCGGGGCCGGAGTGGGCAGTCCATCCATCAATGAGTCGCGCGGGTGTGAAAACACCAACGCATCGTCACACTGCAAAAGTGAAACTCATCGACGGTTGAAAGTGAGAATAACTGGAAGAAAACTTTGTTTGGCAACCATGGAAAGAAATTTGCATGCTTTATGGCATTTCCCATCCATGGGTCAAATAAGTGGATTCCGGCCGCTGGACTGCCCTTTCCGGTAATTTTTCTCCCGAACCGGACGAACGGATGCCACGAGACGAGGCCTGTGGCCCGTCCACCCCGTTCACCCATGCCTCTTGCAGAAGCTGCCATATGCACACGGCGGCCCTTATGCCTCATCTGTCAAAACCCTCACTTCAAATCTTCGATGCTAACCATGGACTCTTCGATAGGGCGACTGGATTCTCTTCACCCACGAGGGTGGCGTTGATGTCGGTGATGTTGACGCCAAGGCTGAGAAGCTCTTGATCCCCGTCGACCTTTCACAATACCCTTCCAACGACGAGATCGCCGCGTCTCTGTTGAAGAAGGTCCCCAAGGGTGTTCACAACGTGCTGGTCGACTTCATCACCCGGTTGTACGCCGTCTACGTCGAGTGCCAGTTCACCTACCTCGAGATCAACCCCCTCGTTGTCATCCCTAACGAGGATGCCACCTCCGCCTCTGTGCACTTCCTCGATCTTGCTGCCAAGCTCGACCAGACTGCCGACTTCGAGTGCGGTGTCAAGTGGGCTATTGCCCGCTCCCCTGCCGCTCTCGGTCTGACCAACGTCGCCGCCGCCAACGGCGAGAAGGTCAACATCGATGCCGGCCCGCCAATGGAGTTCCCCGCTCCCTTCGGTCGTGAGCTGACCAAGGAGGAGGCCTACATTGCCGACCTTGATGCCAAGACCGGTGCCTCCCTCAAGCTTACCGTCCTCAACCCCAACGGACGTATCTGGACTCTGGTCGCTGGTGGTGGTGCTTCCGTCGTCTACGCCGATGCCATTGCCTCTTCTGGTTTCGCCGACGAGCTCGCCAACTACGGTGAGTACTCTGGTGCTCCCACCGAGTCTCAGACCTACCACTACGCCCGCACCGTCCTCGACCTCATGCTCCGCGCTCCCCTGACCGACGAGGGCAAGGTCCTCTTCATTGGTGGTGGTATTGCCAACTTCACCAACGTCGCCAGCACATTCAAGGGTGTCATCCGCGCCCTTCGCGACTACGCCAAGCAGCTCAACGAGCACAAGGTCCAGATCTGGGTCCGTCGTGCCGGCCCCAACTACCAGGAGGGTCTCAAGAACATGAAGGCTGCCACCCAAGAACTTGGCCTGAACGCCAAGATCTTTGGCCCCGAGATGCACGTCTCCGGTATCGTGCCCCTGGCCCTCGTCCCCGGCAGATGGGAGGCCAGTGGCGCTGAGGAGTTCAGAGGTTAAACGGTATAAATGAAATGAAATATGTGTGTTTGGGGGGGTGGACTTGGAGAGCCATAGTTCTGGTATCACGGGTTTAGACGAAAGGAAAGTTTTTGCCTGGTATTTGGAATGGTATCTTGCCCACTTTCTTGTACGCTTGCAAGTTTACGGTGTTTATGACGGCTGGTGCAACAAATGCTCTTGACGGGAAGGTCGAGGGCCGGGTCCTTGTATCGTATGTATGGAGGGCATGGTCGACGATCAGATGAGCAAATAATTAGACGCTCTGTAATGTGATCTTGGCTGAAGGTTCAATGCTTGTTTCTCGTTTCAATGTTGTTGTGACTCAAGTGATTAAAGTGATGTTCATGTGTGTGTGTGTTCGGTTATCAACCTGAGATGTATAGACGAGTGTTGGATGTTTTTCCTCTCGTTGAGCTGGTCAAGTGATCATACCTATCAGATAAAGGGGGAGGGAGTCTAGTTTTGTCCCATGTATATCAGTAGAAGGACAGGAAACACGTTCTGAAGCTCTCCTAACAAAGTGACGTAGCATGTACGGTCTTCTGCATCTCAAGCTTTTTTTATTGCGTTTGTAGAATGGCTGGCGGTGGTGGTTTCTTTCAAGCACCCAGCTTATGCAGTCCTCTTCACAGACGTATGTGTATGGTCCTTGACGTACTCTATATGCCACGCGCGCTCTGTCCCTCACGTTTGTTTTCTAACTCGCTTTAAGTAAGGCAGTAAGGTATTCAGCTTTTGCACAATATCGAAGAATTCCCAGCTACATAACGGACATGATTAGTTCGGCTAAGACGACCATGAGCTGGTGAAGTTTGAGTACGTTCATGGTCGAGAACGACGTGGAGGAAAACTTTGGAACACGAAAAGAAAGGGGGAAACGTTGGGGTTTACGGTTCAGACATGAGATCACCACTTTTTAGCGCAACGATGGTGCTGGATAAGTTGGTTAATCATCGGCCCTCGTCACGTTAGAGAACCACGGCCGAGCTAAGGCCGTCTTGGTCTGGATTAAGTCCATGGCCAAGGAGGCAAGTGCTGTTTGGAGGCCATCTGTGTCTGCAGAGTCTCGTCGCTGCGAAGTGGTTCGATTCTTTGCTGTTACTTCTTTGGACGTTCAGCCTCAACCCATCCACTTGCTTTAGACGAACTTGTACACACTCTTTGAATGGCTGGGAACCGCACTCCGCCCTTGACTTTTCGTTATCCGCTTGTACATACGTTCCAGTGAAGCGTAATTAGGGACGACGGGGAAGAACTTAAATAGAGAAGTAGGGCAGAGGAGACGCAGGTGTCAAAAGGGCCCTCGTAAATAAACGGATTTCCTTTCTGCTCTCGAGCTTTAGGCTATCAAATTGCGAAGGCAAATTTAAAGACTTCTCTCTCGTATATCAAAGCAAAGTTCCAGAGCACTACAACTCACAAGTCAACATCTCGATACATGTTACTTGATCGTCGTGGAAGTTTGCGAACGTGAGAAACGTCCTGGTCTAGAATAGATGAACGTTATGTACTTGGAGCTTTATACGACCCCCGATAAAACAGAGAGGATCAGCAGCGACCCTTCTGGCAGAACAGGGTTAAGGGGCTCTATTATCCTAGAGCTACGGTAGGATATAAAAATGATACGCTCTCTGGTTTTTTATTGCATATTTAGCTTTTGTTCCTCTCACTTGGGGAGATTATTGTTATCGACAAGTCTCAGTATAGTCAGGCTGGGAGGAGGCTGCTTATTTGATATTATCCTAGAGCTATGGTAGACTACAAAAGTGAGATACGTTTTGACTAGTGGGGGGGCTTTCGTCACTCTTTCCAGGATGACTGAGAATGACACCTTTCAGTTGAACAAAGTCGAGATGATCTTCCCTTGGGGCGAAGGCCGTATATATAGCTAAACCGTTCCAGCGTAATGGAAGCTTTCGTCGTTCTTACTCAGTCAGCTTAACAACGGCACGGGCAGGTATCTTACAATAGAATCAATCGGGTCTTAATCCTGCACGCTATCTACCAGTTGCACCAAAGGTTAGTTAAAGTTCTCTCCACATCTTAAGGGAAGTGAGTCCCGCGTTCCCTCCTTCATGCCACCCGTCTTCTCGCTCCTTCTACTACCAACCCCTCATCATCTCGCTCACGTCCTACATTCACGAATATGTTGGGGGCCGACAGAACGTAAAAGAACGGAACGCAGCTCAGTGGTACCGATCTACATTTCCTTCTTTTTCTTAGAACTATCCTAGGTGAGCAGACAATAGATCGGTGTCGGTCACTTGGCTTTTCGGGCAGAATCAGCAAGCCTACATCTTGGTGCCGCCTCCGGCCAATAGTTTCCCGTGGGCATCTCATTTATTTAAGGTATGTCGATATAGGACGGCCGTCTAAGACGTGAGTTCCTTCATCAAGATTCCTAAAGATGTCTCACGAACCATCGTGATCTGTACGGTCGCGAACCATCGCCAATCTCAAATTACACCAATTGGAAGGGTTTACCTTGCACAATATTTGAGCACTCATCACCTGTGACATAGCTCAAGTCTTAATAAGTATCAATTGAGGTTTATAAACAAACCGCGGGGAATCTATGATGCCAGAAAGAAACCAAGTCATTACCTCCAAACCTTCCTAATGAGCCACATACAACATCCAGCGTACGCTTCCGGAGCTTTTACAAGAACAAAAGAGCAAGCAGAGGTGCAGCAAGAGCGGCAACCTCGGGGCGCATTGCGATGCCGGCATTGGGGGTGGTGCTCGACGAAGGGGTGGAAGTGCCGGTAGGGGTGGAGGTGCCGGTGGCAGCAGGAATAGTGGTACCGCCAGTGTTAGTGCCGGGGGTGTTGGAGTCGGAGTCGGCAAGGGGAGAGACGGCGAGGCCAGTGATCTCCGTCTTTCCATCAACATCGTAGACCTTGTGCTTGACGGTCCAGTCGGAGATGGAGATGATCTTGCCAGAGGGCTTGTTCTTGATACCGTTGTCGATGAGGTCCTGGCCACCCGGGGGAACGTCGGGCAGAGTGAAGTTGTTGTTAAATCCCTTCTCCTTGATCAAAGACGAGGCGCACTTGGGAGGGTCGGGGGAGGAGGCAGGAGCCTTGGTGGCCTGCAGAGTCTTGAAGTCGACCTTCTTGTACTGGGTGGCAAGGTTCTGGTAGTCAATGAGCAGCTTGACGGACTTATCGTCGTTGACCTTGACGAGGCCATAGTTGTTGTCCTCCTGGCTGTACTCGTAGACGAGACCTCCGGAGAAGACAGAGTTCATGTCGGAGCCGTAGATGGAGCCAATCTCGGTGAAGGGGCGAGGGGTGACCTGGTTGCAGCCAAACTCGGAGAAGAAGACGGGCACAGAGGTGTCCTTCAGACTTGAGACGAGCTGGTCGTAGGTGGAGGTCTTGAAGCTGGAATCACCGCACCACGAGTAAGAGTTGAGGCCGAAGAGGTCGATGCGGCTGGGGTCCTTGGCGTCTCCATTCTCAGCACACTGCAGGTAGTTCCAGGAGTCGACGAGGATCTCGCGCACGTCGGCAGCGGAGTAACCGACGGGGATGGCGCGGTCGGAGTGCTTGGCGATGTAGTTCTTCAAGTCGCGAGTGACGGCGCGGAGGTACTGGGGAACGAACTCGGCAGTCTGAACGTTATTCATGACCTCATTGCCGGAGAAGAAAGCGAGGGTGTTGGGGTAGCTCTTGAAAGCCTCGACGATGGCGAAGGTGCGGTTGAGGTAGGCAGCGTAGTAGCTGGTCCAGGGCTCGAAGCTCGTAATACTCTCGCCGACGAGGGGAGAGTTGACGTCGAGAATCATGTACATGCCAGCTGCGTTAAAGACGGAAGCGCAAGCATCATGGTTCAGGTTGGGGTCGAGGTTGTAGACGCGGATGGCGTTGGCGCCCAGGCGCTGAAGAAGGGCAGCATCGCGCAAGCAAATGTCACCATCGCTGAGGGGGTCGCGACCGTGGGAAGGGTCGTAGCCGGCGCTGCCGCCAATCTGGTAGTCGACACCAACGATCTGGAACTTTTCGCCGCCCTCAGTGACGAAGGCATTGCCCTTGACGGTGAGAGGCTTGACAGCGGCAGCCAGAGTCGCACTCAATGCGACGAGAGCAGTTTGGACCTGCAGGTTGGCGCCAAATTAGATTAAAGTTGCACGGTGATGTCGGTGTTGCAGCATGTCTAGGAGAAGGAAGAGAGCAGGAACATGAGGGGGAGGGAGATCGACAGAATGTGGCGTCGCCAATGTGCAGGAATTTGACGATGGCCCGTGGGGATGTCTCTCCACATGAACCAACAGCAAAGGAACTTGGCTTGTTTTCTTGCGCCCTGATCGACGCCGTGCGATGGATTGCTGCATCGGTTGGACCGGTCGGCTGGGCCAAACGATCCAATGGAAGCGCCGTGGAGGAGGGATAGAAGAATAAAAAGGGCTACAACTTACAAGCATGGCTGCGAATAGGTATTAGCAGGATTATCTCGAGGTAGTAGTGTTGGGTTGGTAGGCGTTGGGTATTAGACGTGTAGTCGTAGAAGTATTTGGTGAAGTCGTTATTCTTCGGTTGGTCGTGCCTTTTAGTCTAAAAGGTGGGACGGAATCCAAGAGAGTGTCGAGAAGATGAATGTGGGTATTTGTGGTGAGCCAAGGCAAGGCAAGAAAAAAGAGAATTGAGACACTAAAAAAGGTCCAAAAAGGAAACAATTCTTCTGTGGATTTGTGGATGTGGTTTGAGAGAGTGACGAGAAACGAAGAGAGGAACGAGGTTTGAAGTGGTCGGAGGAGGGTGTGGTGTGCGAGTGTACGGGCAGACGAACAATACAGGCGCGACTCTGTCGAGCGAGTGTTGCAGACTGCAAACGGTAAGAGGTCTCCAGTCAGTCGGATTCGTAGAGAGAGAGAAAAGAGAACCGAGACCAGGTGCGACAGACAGGCTCTGGGCTAATAAGAGGAGGCAAGTAATAGTAATAAGAAGGAGGAGCAACGGCGAAACTTGACACAGCGAGGGAACTTAGGGAAGTCG